CAGCCTGCAAATGGCAGGTTGCAAGCCTTCTCAGCCTTCATAATCATGTCAGCCAATTCCTCATACTAAATCAACTTTTCTATGTATCACTTACTGGTTCTTTTTCTCTGAAGAACTGTGACTAATACAGATTTTGGTACCAAGAGTTGCTCTAGGGGGACAGAATATTAAGGATGAGTTTCCTGATGATCCCAGAGTTTTTGGAATTGATCTTATTAAATCAATTTTGATCTTATTAAAGATCTTATTAAAGATGTTAATAAGGTCTTATTAAAGATGTTATTAGATCTATTTAAGATCTTATTAAATCTTTAATAACATCTTTTATATGTTATTAAAACATACGTTACTCTGATCTTATTAAAGATGTTAACGATTCTTTCCAGTTAGTAAAGTGAGCACTGAGTGCATAGCATGATCTAGCGATAGAAATATGCAAAATAATTGCATTGGCTACTCCTAATCAACCAGTTATAAGAGGCAAGGAGCTGGTTAACTGTGTATATGATTTTTTGGGGGGGATTTTTGGAAAACTAATTGTTGATGGCTGTTATGAAACCTTGTTCTTGTCTTCTTAGTCTAAAATAACTTAAGAGACAGTGAAGAAGATGCAGTATAAAGCAATTCATTGCAAAGGCGAAATAATATTTTGAAAGTTGAGTGCACAATAGATAGTACACCCTTAGAGAGAGGATTCAGTACAGGCCACTGGTAAGGATGAGACCGCAAAGAGTGGCACCAGGGAGACTCCCTTTCTGGGAGTCTTACATGATTAATCATAAAGGGGTGGGAAGAGGTGTTACTAGTAAGCATGTTCTGGGTGTTCCTCTGGGTGCACAAGAGCAGTAGCTGTACATGCTTGCTCATACATCGCATGTCTCATTAGCATCTTAAATCTCCACCCAGTGGTGGCTTTTCTACTATTATAATAAGCAAAGGATCAGTCTGAGGATATGTAAAATCAAAATGTGCATGCTGTCTACACGGAAATGTCTTACTGAAGATAGCTTTGCTTGAGTTAGCTTGACTACAATGTGAATGCTGGGGCTTATTTTGTTGAAGTGTGTGGTGCAGTAAGCCACAGTTGCTGCATACCACAGCCATGTTTACTTCCTTGACTACCTATTCTGCCTCTTAATCAGTATAATCAGGACAGTTGGTTGTTTCTAATGTCACTGGATAAAGTGGTGCTAAAAAAGGTGAGTGTAGGGATTTTTATTCCCAGCTCAAGTACTCCATAAATAATCAGAAAACTTCTATGTACACTCTGAAGAAAACCCTATCTCCTGTATTCCCAGAGCCGAGACTGTTGAAAATCAAACACAGCATCTCATCCTGTGACTGGCTGAATTACAACACAAATTAGAATTCCAGCCTTGCAGAGTGACTATTGTTAAAAAGAGGGCACTTACTGAAAAAAATGAGATTCTATAAATTAGAGTTTGGACATGTAGGAAGACCTTGATGAAGCTGGGGACATTAAGCCCATAAATTCTGATGAGTCTTCTTTGCTGGTGGAGAGACTTCTTAACCCCAGTGGAAGCAGCTTCTCCATTTCCAGTGATAGTACCCTCCAACCTGTCTGAGATGATTAACACTGCATTGCCTGAGGAAATTGTAATGGTCTCCTTTCAGGCAGTTGATATACAAGACAATGCCCGTTCTCCTCCAGACCCATCTCCACCACCCTTCTTTGCTTCTAGACCTGAAACTAGACAGGAACAAAGTGTTACCCATGAAGAGATGTGCTATACTCCAAAGAGTTACTCAAAGTCTCTAATTTTTACAGACAAAAATCTGGGAACATATGCGAGAATGGATAATAAAGGTGTCGGAAAATGATGGAAGGAACAAAAAGTTGGATCAGGTCAAATTTCTTGACATGGGCTCACTAAGCAAAGATTCTGCATTTAACACTGCAGCTTGGGGAATTAGAAAGGGTGCTTACGGTTTGATAGGCTTACTGAAACATGGAAAAGATGAATTGGAAGGGCTGGACATGCCTTGGTTTAATCTAGGGGATGGGATTAAAAGGTTTAGGAATATTGGGAAATTGGAGTAGATTTTTCATTTAAGAACTACTCATCCACACTGGGAATGTCAAGAAAGTATACCTTTCACCAATACTATGAGAAATAAATTTACGAGGAGCGTTCCAGCACCTTTTTCAGAACTCTGTGATGGCTCTTCTCTGTAGGCCAGAGCTCACTGCAGTCACTGAACTGGCAAACCTAAATATAATGGAAGTAACAGATCCCAGGGTGGCATGGGTCAAGTAACGGAACTCAACCACCAAAGGCAAGGTGAAGTGGTTATCATAATGACAGAGCCAAAGGAACAATCAGAATAATCTGACTTGTGTAGACCTGTGCTTTGGCTAGTTGATCATGGTTTTCCTAGAAGTGAAATAGATAGGAAGCCTACTAAAGTCTTACTTGATCTGTATGAGCAGAAAACTTCTAAGTCAAGTGACAAAAGTTGAACTTGAATCATAAAAACAGAATCGTGGTCCCTTAATTCCCAGACTTGAGCCATTTTATAGAGCCAAAACCCTTCGATTGAAGGGGAGGACCTCAAGGGGACCCTGGTCCATAACCAAACGTTTATACTGTTAGTCTTTCTCCTAGTCCTCCCCAAAGGGACGTACAGCCTTTTACCAATGTAACTGTGCATTAGAAAAACGGAATAATCAGATCTTTTGTGAACTAGTGGACACTGGCTCTGAAGTGACACTAATTTCAGGAGATCCAAAGTGCTACTGTCAGGGTAGCAGCTTATGGAGGTCAGGTGATGAACAGAGTTTTAGCTTAGTTCCATCTCACAATGGGCCCAGTGAATTCCTGAACCTATTCTGTGGTTATCCCCCAGTTCTAGAATGTATAATTAGAATATAGTCAGCAGCTGACAGAATCCACGCATTGGTTTCCTGACCTATGGAGTGAGGGCTATTATGGTGGAAAAGGCCAAGTAGAAGCCACTAGAACTATCTGTACTTATGAAAATAGTAAACCAAAAGCAATGTTCAATTCCTATAGGGAGTGAAGAGATTAGTGCCACCGTAAGTACTTGAAGGAAGGCTGGGTGGTGATTCCTACCATATCTCCATTCAACTCACCTATTTAGCCTGAGCAGAGGACAGATGGATCTTGAAGAAAAACAGTGGATTATCACAGACTTAACTAGGTGGTGACTCCAATTGCAGCTGCTGTACCAGATGTATTGCTTGAGCAAATTAACATAAACCCTGGTTCCTCGTATGCATCTACTGATCTGGCAAATGCCTTTTTCTCCATCCCTGTCTAGAAGGCCAACCAGAAGCAGTTTGCTTTTAGCTGGCAAGGCTAGAAATGCACCTTTATGTCCTACCTCAGGGTGTATCAACTCACCAGCCCTGTCCTAATTTTGTTCACAGGAATCTTTATTGCCTTTTCTTTCCACATCACATTGACCCATTACACTGATGACATTATGCTCACTGGACTTAATGAGTGAGACGTAGCAACTACTCCAGAACTATTGATAAAACATGTGCATATCAGAAGTGGGAAGTAAATCCAACAAAAATTCAAAGGCTTTTTCATGTCTCAGTAAAATTTCTAGGGGTCCAGTGGTATGAGGCATATTGAGATACCCCTCCTAAGGTAAGTTTTTGCATCTGCCCCCTCCTACAACCAGAAGAGGCATGACATGTGGCAGCCCTCTTTGGATTTGGGTTTGTTACTCTGGCCCATTTACTGAGTGTCTTGAAAAGCTGCTAGTTTGGAGTAGGACTCAGAATAGGAAAAGGTTCTGCAATAGGTCCAGGCTATTGTGTAAGGTGCTTTGCTGCTTGGGACACATGAACTTGCAGATCCAATGGTATTTGAAGTGTCAGTGGCAGATAGAGATGCTGTTGGAACCTTTGGCAGGCCCATATAGATGAATCTCAGTGCAGACCCTTAGTATTTTGAAGAAAGACCTGCTATCCTATGCAGATAACTACTCTTTTGAGAAACAGCTCTTGGCCTACTGCTGGGCTTCAGTAGGGACTGAATGCTTACCTACTGGTCAATTAAGTTACCATGTGACCTGAGCTGCCCATGATGAGTTGGGTGTTATCTGACCCATAAGCCATAATGCTGGGTATGCACAGCAGGAGTACATCATCAAAGAACGTGTTATGTATGTGACTGGGCCGAGGCAGGACCTGAAGGCAAAAGTAAGTTACATGAAGAAGTGACCCAAATGCCCATGGTCCCTGTTCCTGCTACCTTGCCTTTTTTCTCCCAAGCTCATAGCTCATGGGGAGTTCCCTATGATGAATTGACAGGAATAAATGACATGGGCCTAGTTTATAGATGCTTCTGTGTGATATGTCGGCATCACCTGAAATTGGATAGCTACAGTATGCCAGCCCTTCTCTGGGACATCCCTGAAGGACAGTGGTGAAGAGAAATCCTCCCAGTGGGCAGAACTTTGGGCAGTGCACCTGGTTGTTCATCTTATTACCCCATCTTGGCTAAAAGTAGAAGTCCTGAAGCATTTTATTATTTATTTATATATTTTTTAGAGATGAGGGATCACTATGTTGCCCAGGCTGATCTTGAATTCCTCCCGCCTTAGCCTCCCAAAGTGTTGGGATTACAGGCGTGAGCCATTGTGCGCAGCCCATTAAACCATTTTATTGGACAATTTTTCAATTCCTACATTTCTTCTGAATTTAATTCAAAAAATTGCATTTTAAAATTCAACCATGTATTAAGATCTAATAAAATAATTATGAAAAGCAATTCTGACTGATAGTCCCTGTTGGTCGATCAATGAGGACATATTATAAAAAAGGTAGCTTATCAATATTATACCAATGTGCAAAACAGACATTTTAGAGAGAGATTTACCACTTTCTAAACAGTATCTTTTGTGATTCTGGGGAAAAGGTGGTGTGGGTAGGGTAGAGATAATAAATACATCTTATATAGAAGCATTAATGTAACTTCATAAAATACAAGTTGAAAAATTAATTGGTTAAATGACTCACTGTGTAATTTTATTTCATATTACACAAATATTAATCAAATGCTCAGTAGACATGTAGATGACAAGCAGTATATGACAAACTCTAAAGAAATAGTTACATGCAGAGTTTCTCAGATTTTCAGTGTATTTAAGAATTAACTGAAGAGTTTGTTAAAAATGCAGGCTTAAGGCCAAATCACAGATTATAATTTCATACAAATAGGATGGAGCCTAAGAACCTGTAAATTATTAAACAACTGATTAAAAATGGAGAGGTTCCTATGAAGTTAGGCTCGTTCTTAAATTTCTTATTTCAACTGGACAAGTGGAAGGATAATAGGTGAGCATTATCAGAATTGAAGTAGAGGCAAGAATAAACCAAGGTGTTTTAGCCTAGCTAAAGAAGCTCAGACTAGAAAAGACCTCCAGGATCAAGCTGAAAAATCTGGGGATTAGACTCTTGAAAGTAAGGTTTCAGAACAGGAGAATAATAATATGATACTGACTTTTAAAGGAATATTAAGTTGATGAGATGCATTGTAAGCTGGAAAGCCAGTGAGAGGGTTCAGAATGAGGTGATAAAGGTGAGCATTAGGTAGGAGGCATTTACAAGAAAAAATAAAATCTCAAAAGATACTTTGGTAAAAAATGTTCCTTTCACATATTTAAGGATTGGCAGTTAAAATTAAATACAACATTATAAAATACCATGTCAAACATAATAACAACATCAATAACAACAATACGAATGAAATAATCTTCAACAGGTTTTTCAGATGTTTACTTCCATGATTCTTGTCACTCCATAGGAGCTCAGTAACAGTTTGTACTGCCTAGAAGAATTATTGAAAAGAAGTATTAGTAATCTAGATTAAAACGAATTTATCCATCGTTATAAACTAAAAACAGGCCTTGTATCTTCTCTAGGCAGATGAAGCAATATATTCTGCAAGATAATTTTATTTACAAGTCTTTATCACTTCAACCAATTTTAATTTACTGTGAAAGACAAACATTCACAGTCAAGAAATAAGAAATTACTTCTCCAAAACTAGAAATTAGAAAATGATTAAGGACCTAAGAGACATTTAGGTTAAAATGCTAAGGGTATTATAGAGGGAGTAAAATTGGGGAGTGTGGACAGGGGCAAAATAGTCAGGCAAAGCTTCCAGGAAGATATAATTTGACCCAGCCTTGAAGAACAGGCAGAATCCAGGTATACAGAAAAGAAAGTGTAGAAGGAGGGGAAAAACAGTCATTTGTACACAACAATCTCAGTAAGAATTGCTTTTATCAGAAGGTGTCAACAAATTTTCACAGTTCATAAGATGGATGACTTGCTAAATGCTGTGAAAGCAAATCCAAAGGAAGAGGACACTTTTATATATTTATTCATGTCTTACCTTCTTTTAATGGGGTTTTCAGGGCAAAATTTTCTTTACTTTCATGATGAAAAGCCTTTGAAGGATCAAAGTGTTTGATACCTAGGACTTTATTCAATTCCTCTTGAAGTTTTGTCTCACTTTGTTTTTTTTTAGCAAGCTGACAGCGGAGTTTTGATACTTCCTAGGTTAAAAAAAAAAAAAAAAAAGGTAATAAACAATTATTAAAGATTATGTCAGTGAAATGTGTTACCAATGTTGTGGGCAAATTCCAGAGTTGTTTATGTACTATCACACCCAACGGCAACAATCACTGCTAGACAGAGGCTTTAAGACTGAATTACAAAATGACTTGAAACAGCTGTGACAAAGGAGATACAGTCTTAAATCTCCTTGCCCCTCTACAGCTACAAGGCTATTTTTCTGATAAAAGATCAACTCAAAAGTAACTGCTGAGATGGACTTCTGGCATGACAGCATGAAAGTTCCGCTGACCTGCTCCCTAGTGAAACTAAAAGTCATAAGATGTTAACCAGTTAAAGCCTCTGAAAATTGACCTAAGGGAAAAACAGCAAATGAAGAAACGTCTATTGAAGAAAATCTGCAAAAATTTTGTGAGAAAGATGAAAGTCTGCAGTATTGAAGCCAAAACTCCTTCCCCTCTTCCCACTCCCAGCTTAGCAAGACAAAGTCCATGCCAGATGGCTACAGTCAAAAGCACAGGGCCCTCTTTTCCCCCACCTCTGAGTCAGAAGCTTCCCTCCCAGGAGGACCAGGACATCAGAGTTTCTCATCTTGTCCCCAGCTCCCTGTGGCTGTGGTTATATCGTGGACAAATGCAGTTGTGAGGTGGGGGATCCCTTCCTCCACTCAGCCCCATTCATGGAACAGGGGCTCACCTTGGGCACAGTGTGTTGAAACTGCTGGGCCCCTGATCACCCTTTCTCTGGCTCATGACGGGATGGTTCTACACCAGGAGAGGTGAGTCAAGAGGGCCTGGGGCGATTCCTCATCTCTTCCCCACAAGTCCACTGAAAACTCAGCTCCTAGGGCAGAGATGTCTCTCAGAGAGAAAACTGCCATTGTCCCCAATTTCAATTCTAGTTCTGGCCCAGAGATATTGTCAGGGGAGGGGGAAAGGAGGGCGGAAAAGACAAGTAGGCCATAAAACAGGTAGTCCTCATTTCTTTTCAAAGGAACTGACTTCACCTGCAACAGAGCTTGGAGAAGCTGAAGCCTAATGGTGCTCTAAAGCAGGGGTCCCCAACCTCTGGGCTACAGATGGATACCCATCCATGACTTCTTAGGAATCACGCTGTAGAGCAGGAGGTGAATGGTGAGCCAGGAAGCATAAGCATTACCCCCGAGCTCCTCCTCCTGTCAGATCAGCTTCAGCATTAGATTCTCATAAGAATGTGAACCCTACTGTGAACTGTACGTGTGAGGGATCTAGGTTGCATGCTCCTTATGAGAATCTAATGCCTGATGATCTGAGGTGGAACAGTTTAATCGCAAAACCAGCCACACCAACCAATCACGAGCTGGGTGATCCGGTCTGTGTAAAAATTGCCTTCCACAAAAATGGTCCCTGGTGCCAAAAAGGTTGGGGACCATGAAAGAACAGTGGTGGTTATAGTGATAGAGAATTGGGAGGAGATTTAAGATATAGGCTCAACAGCAGACTAGTTAGTTTGCAGGAGAAAACTAGGGAATAAGACAGCTGGGACAAGCCCTTCTGTAGTCAATAAATATCCAGCACTGCTCTCAGATGCAATCCCTACAGAGGGGCCAGAATTTGATTGGATTAGTTGATAGAGCAATTTATGCCCTAGGGTACTGTTGAAAATAATAAAGCAAGGAGCCAGCATCTACTGGAGTTTATAGCCTACTATGTTCACAGAAAGAAAGGAAGGCAACCCTACCAAAGCAAGTGTCATCCCAGGGTAATTGTGGATATACCTAAAACTGTACCTCCCTGCACAGCAACATCAGAGGCACAACACTGTTGGGGTCTGGGGAAGTAGTAGGATAGGCTTCACTGAAATCATTGAGCCGCTCATTAAGCAAATAAGCAAACAAAAAGCCCCAAAAGGAGGGGGAGCTGTACCCAGAAATGCTACAACATAGGATCTAAAAATTTACTCTCCAATGAAAAATTACAAGGCATGCCAGTAAACAGAAAAGTATAACCTATACATTTGGACAAAAGGAGAAAAAATGTCTTTGAGAGTAATTGGATGTTGGATTTTTCAGCCATTAAACAAGGGCTGAAAAACTGCCTACTGAGCACCATCCTTACTACCTGGGTGATGGGACCAGTCATACCCTAAACCTCAGTATCATGCAATGCACCTATGTAACAAATCTGCATATGTACCCTCACATCTAAAACAAAAGATGAAATCATAAAAAAGAAAAGTTCTTGGCCAGGTGCAGTGGCTCAAGCCTATAATCCCAGCACTCTGAGAGGCCAAAGCAGGTAGATTGCTTGAGCCCAGGAGTTCCAGACCAGCCTGGGCCACATGGCAAAACTCTGTCTCTACAAAAAGTAGAAAAATTAGCCAGGTGTGGTGGTGCACACCTGTAGTCCCAGCTACTTGGGAGGCTGAGGTGGGAGGATCACCTGAGTCCAGGGAGGTCGAGGCTGCAGTGATCTGTGATTGCATCACTGCACTCCAGCCTGGTGACAGAGTGAGATCCTGTCTCAAAAAAACCCCCAAAAACCAACCAAACAAAAATAAAGTTCTTTCTCTACTAAAAATTTTTAAAAAGAAAGAAACTTAAATAAAAAAAGACTCAAATTACTAGAATCAGAAATAAAGAGGAGCCATTACTACTGACTTTACCGAAATAAAAGATATTATAAAGGAATACTATGAACAATTATATACCAACAAATTAGACACATTTATAGAAAGACATAAACTACTCAAGAAGAAAACCGACTCAAGAAGAAAGAGATAATCTGAATAAGCCTGTATCAAGTAACGATATTGAATTAGTAATCAAAAAATATTCACAAGAAAAGCCCAGGTCCAGATGGCTTCACCAATAAATTCTACCACATATTCAATGAAGAATTAACACCAATTATTCAAAAACCATTCCACATAGAAAAGAAGGAACATTTCTCAATTCATTTTATGATGTCACCGTTACCCTGATACCAAAATGAGACAGACATTAAAAAAACAAAAACAAAACAAAGAAAACCTACAGACCAGTATCTCCTAGGAATACAGACAAAAAACCCCCTCAGCAACATATAAAAATAATTATATGCCATAACCAAGTGGGATTTATCTCAGAAGGTTAGATTAACATCTAAAAATCAATAAAATATATCAACAGAATAAAAAACAAATTACGTGATAATCTCAATAGAAATAGAAGAAGCACTTGATAGAATTTATCACCCTTTCATATAAAAATGCTCAACAAAATAGGAAACAGAAGGGAACTTCCTCAACTTGATAAAGAGCATCTGTGACAAATCAACATCTTTGTTTTTTTGAGACGGAGTTTCGCTGTTGTCTCCCAGGCTCAATGGCTCCATCTCGGTTCACAGCAACCTCTGTCTTCTGAGTTCAAGAGATTCTCCTACCCAAGTAGCTGGGATTACAGGTGCCCGCCACCACACCTAGCTAATTTTTGTATTTTTAGTAGAGACGAGGTTTCACCATATTGGCCAGGCTTGTCTCAAACTCCTGACCTCAGGTGATCCACCTGCCTTGGCCTCCCAGAGTGCTGGGATTACAGGCGTAAGCCACTGCGCCTGGCTGACAAATCAACATCTAATAATGTCACTCTAGATACATCGTATAGCTAACATCATATATCATGGAGAAAGACTGAATGCTTTCCCCCTAGATCAGGAACAAAGAAAGTCTGTCCATCCATTTTCATTATTTCTAAATTCAACATTGTATTATACTACAGGTTTTAGCCAGAGATATTAAACAAGAAAAAGAAATAAAAGGCATCCAGATTGGAAAATAAGTAAAACCATCTCTATTTGCAAAAGACATGATCTTCCATAAGAACATCCTAAGGAATCCACTAAAAAACTATTAGAACTAAAATGAGTTTAGCAAGTGTGCAGGATACAAGATAAATATATTAAAATCAATTGTATTTCTTCTTTTTTTGAGATGGAGTCTCTCTCTGTCGCCCAGACTGGAGTGCAGTGGCCGGATCTCAGCTCACTGCAAGCTTTGCCTCCTGGGTGTAGGCCATTCTCCTGCCTCAGCCTCCTGAGTAGCTGGGACTACAGGCACCCGCCATCTTGCCCAGCTAGTTTTTTGTATTTTTTAGTAGAGACGGGGTTTCACCGTGCCAGGATGGTCTCGATCTCCTGACCTCGTGATCTGCCTGTCTCGGCCTCCCAAAGTGCTGGGATTACAGGCTTGAGCCACCGCACCCGGCCAATCAATTGTATTTCTATACACTTGCAATGAACAATCCAAAAATGAAATTAGCAATTTCTTTTACAATAGCATCAAAAAGAATAAAATAGTAATAGATTTAACAAAAGAAGTGGAAAACTTATACTCTGAAAACTACAAAACATTGTTGAAAGAAATTAAATGATATCTAAATACTTGGAAAAATATCCCATATTTATATATTAGAAGACTTAACCTAGTAAAGATAATAATATGTCCCAAACTGATCTATAGATTCAATGCAGTTCCCATCAGAATCCCAGCTGGTTTCTTTGTAGAAAAACTGATTCCAGGCTGGGCACAGTGGCTCACGCCTGTAATCCCAGCACTTTGGGAGGCCGAGGTGGGCGGATCACCATCCTGGCTAACACAGTGAAACCCTGTCTCTACTAAAACCACAAAAAATTAGCTGGGCGTGGTGGTGGGCACCTCTAGCCCCAGCTACTCCGGAGGCTGAGGCAGGAGAATGGCATGAACTTGGGAGGCAGAGCTGGCGGTGAGCTGAGATCGCGCCACTGCACTCCAGCCTGGGTGACAGAGCGAGACTCCGTCTCAAAAAAAAAAAAAAAAAAAAAAAAAGAAAAACCGATTCCAAAATCACTATAGAATTGCAAGAGGTCCAGAATAGACAAAACCATATTGAAAACTACAAAGAGGACTCACGCTTCCTGATTTCAAAACTTACTACAAAACAACGGTAATCAAGACAGTGTGGTGGCACATAGGTGTATAGATCAATGGAAGACAGGTGAGAGTCTAGAAATAAACCCATACATGTACCATCTAAATGATTTTTTAATTTGATGTTAACTCCATTAACTGGAGGCAAGAATATTCTCTTTAAAAAATAGTGTGGGGACTATTGCATGTCCACATGCTAAAGAATGAAGCTGGACCCTTACCTCACACCACATACAAAAATTAACTCAAAATCAATCAATAATCTAAATGTAAGAGCTAAAACCATAGATCTGTTAGAAGAAAACACAGGGGTAAATCTTCCTGACCTTGAATTTGGCAGAGGAGATAGATACCAAGGAACAAACAAACAAAAAAATAGACACACTGGACTTCATAAAAGTTTTTTGGGTCAAAGGACAACATCAAGAAAGTGAAAAGACAATGCACAGAATGGGAGAATAAATTTGCAAATAATACATAAGAGACTTGTGTCCAGAATAGATGAAGAATTCTCACAATAATAAAAAGACAAATAATCCAATTTAATAATGAGCAGAGTCTGAACAGACATTTCTTTTATGAAGATACACAAATGGCCAGTAAGCACATGAAAAGATGACCAACATTACTATCAATTAAGAAAGTTCAAGTTAAGCCACCATGGGATACCACTTTATACCAAATACAATGGCTAAGATAAAGAAGTCAGATAATAACAAATATTGGTAACTATGTGGAGAAATTGGGACCCTCATATACTGCCTGTAGAATATAGACTGGTATGAGCCATTTTTGAATACAGTCTGACCTTTCTATGGCCATACCACCCTGAACGTACCCGATCTCATCAGAATATAGTCTGATACTTCCTGAAATGATTAAACGTAGAGTTATCAAATGATCTGGCAACTTCCCTCCCATTATTTCCCAGGGAAACAAAAACAAATGTCCATATAAAAACTTGTATATGAATGTTTATGGCTATTATTTGTAATAGCCAAAATGTGCAAACAATTGTTTATCAACTTACAAATGAATAAATAAAATGTGGTTTAACCACATAATGAATTATTAGGCTATAAAAAAAAAAAGTACTCTCCATGCTACAACACAAATGAATCTTGAAAATACTATGCTAATTGACTGAAAGAAGCCAGTAACAAAAGGCCACATATTATTTGAATCCATGAATATGTCAGGTCTGTAATAGGGAAATCAACAGAGACAGAAAGTAGATTAGTGGTTGCTTAGGGCTGAAGGGTGGGGTGAGGAGATAGGAGAGTGTTAGGAAAAGGAAAACAGGGTTTTGTTTTGAGGTGAGGAAAATGTCCTAAAATTGACTATGGTGACGGTTGCACATATCTGTATATGTATACTAAAAAAACACTGAATTGTCCACTTTCAATGGGTAGATTGTATGGGATGTCAATTATATCTCGATACATATGTTAAAAAATTTAAATGCCCAACTATTTTTGAACACTGCTTCTCTTTACAGTTTTACATCAAGGAGTTTGCAATTTTGCAAATGGAAATAGATATGTAAAGCTTAATGCATTCATCCAATTACTCTAGTAATTTTCAATATATTAAGAAGGTAGCTAGAAAACTTTAGAACATTGAAGGCCCATCTGGTCAACACTCTAAAATAAATCCACTAAATCGCAGCCCAATTTTCCTCTATAAACTTTTTTTTTTCCTGATACCAAAGATTTTCATTTTATTTAAGTATTATAATTAGAATAACCCCCACTCCCTCCAATATCTTTAATAAAATGAAATGTCACTTTACAAACCGATTTGAGTTGGCTATTTTCATCTTTCAACTTCACAACATGCTTGATTTTTTGTTTCAAATTCTGATGACCCAGTAATTTAGCATATGAATCTCTTATTTTATTTAGCTGTTCCTGAGCTGCACCATGTTCATTCAACAATGCCTGTTTTTCTGCCTCAAAAGCATCTAGTTGTAGCTGAAAAAGATTTTTTAAATAAAGACTTAAAACAGTTTGATCATACTAGTTTCATGTAAACCATAAACACTAAAGAAAATTAAAAACACAAATAAAAACAGGGTATGTTTACATATTCTCAGGGCTCTCTATAGATTCTCTACAAAACTCTTTTAAACTTTGTATTTTTCATTTTAAAGATCATTAAAACAGAGGAAAACAAACAAGGTAAAAAAGCCAGCTGGCCAGTTTTATCTGTATCAGTTAGATCACCACATTATAACCAATACTGTACTTCTATCTAAGTTCCAAAATCAGCATTTATTCTTTTTTCTTTTAAAAGATCAGTGTATTGAGAAACAATGAATATTTGCAATAAGGTAAGTCATATCACAAATTAAAATTGGTTAATTATCAAAAGCTCATACCAGGCAAGCCCTCTGAGCCAAACTTTTAAGTTCCTCATTACAGTTTTTTTTTAAACCACAAAGGGTCCATTGAAAAAATTATGTCAATTAAATTTGTTAATTATACTTCAAAAATGTGGGAAAAAGTTATGCATAGTAATTTAACAATAAACCTTTAATAGTGAGCTAAATTGGCACTGTAAGTGCACAGCAAAATGATCTTGCAGAAAACCCAAGTCACTGTCCTCACTATATAATAGGGAACAAAGTGAATTCCTAAAATAAACACAAGTTTACTCCTAACTGACAAACCTGAAAAGGTTTTGTTTTATTATATAGTTCTTCATAGAGGAGACGCCACTTGTTAATTTCTTCAGTTAATTCTGCTGTTGTATTTTCTTTTCCAGCTTTTCTGCATGGAAAAATTAAATTAAGAAAAACACAGTTATCTAAAAAATAACATCATAACTGAGTTATAAGGCACTCAGGCTCTAATCACAGAATACCTTCCTTCTTCATCTTCCAGCTGTTTTCTAAAGTCTTCCTCTTGTTGCTTGAGTTGGTTCTGCAAATCAGTTATTTTTTGAAGAAAAGAAACTGTGATTTCTTTAATTTCTGTTTCTTTTAATGCTGACTTGGTCTGCAGATCTAGAAGCATCCTTTGGTTTGAGAGAGAAGAGTTCACTAAACATTTTATAGCCATTTTCATTAATTTTTCCCTTTTTTTTTTAAAAAAAAAAAACCCAAGGAACTCTTCAAGAAGTGTCATTTTTTAACTGAGTAAATTCTTAATTTGCAATATAAGATGGCCAAAAGCAAGCTGGCTTTCAACATTAAATTGTCTTAATGGTTCTAAGGCCATTATTAGCTGTATATACCGTGCATATTCTTGATTTGAGCTCTCAGTTGCCAGTATCTGATGCTGAACATCCTCTGCACTTTTTCCAGCCTTGGCCACTGTTTCCTGTAATGATGAGTTCTCCAGCTTAAGATCTTCTATCTCACTGGCTGTTAATGCTTTATAGCTTATTAAAAAGAAAAAAAAAGTCAAAGTAGTTTTCTATTACATATGACAATCATAACTGATCAGTTTACATTTTATATACTTTTAGGTAAAACTAAAACGTTTTTCATGTATTCATGCATTTAACACAGGTAAGAATTCAGTGTTCTGAGCTAAGTACTAGTGAGTTTACATGGCATCTGCTGTGTATTCAAAGAAAAAAAAATCAAGTGCCTACTAGGTGCAGGAAGTATGCATACAAGAGACGGAAAAGAAATCAACTACCAAACATGAAAATTACTCACAATCAAAAAATAAGAAGTGAGACTAGAGCCTAATGAGTAAGAAAGGCTGGAGCAGAAGCTGGTGGCATGAGGGTCATCAGAGCAGGGCACAGTGGGCTTACCTGGGGGATAGATAGGAACCATTAAAGGTGTCCAAGTAGGCCAGGCATGGTGGCTCATGCCTGTAATTCCAGCACTCTGGGAGGCTGAGATGGGTAGATCACCTGAGGTCAGGAGTTCGAGACCAGCATGACCAACATGGTGAAACCTCCTCACTACCAAAAACACAAAAAATTAGCCGAGCGTGGTGGCGGACGCCTGTAATCTCAGCTACTTGGGAGGCTGAGGCAGGAGAATCACCTGAACCTGTGAGGTGGAGGCTGCAGTGAGCTGAGATAGTGCCATTGCACTCCAGCCTGGGCAACAAGAGCGAAACTCCGTCTCAAAATAAATAAATAAATAAACAAACAAATAAATAAATAAAAAGGTGTTTAATTAAATGTGTAGCTCACTCTAGAGCTATGAGGAGGATGGATTAGGGCAGGGGAAAGAATGGAAAACTGAAGGATCAATTATTTGATCCTTCTATAAATAAAACAATTATTTATCAGCTCAGGTGAGTGATAAAGGAGGCTCAGACTAAGGAGCTGGCAATGGAAAGACACAAGATCTCTTTTGGAAGCAGAGTAGAAAAATTCAAGAGATAGATTGAATATTGGGGGTAAGGAAGAGAGAATGAAGGATGACTCTAAGATTTATAGAATGAAAAGCTGGGAAGATGATGTCACTGATTATAATAAAAAACAGTGAGAGACTAGGGATCGAAAGCAATGGAAAGATCAAGAGTTGGTTTGGATAGGTTATTAAATTTGGATAATATAAAAAGACAGTATGATGTCTGCTTGATGTCAAGTGGGTAACTGGATATGTGAATATGGAGCCGTAAAGAAAGGTCTGGTTTGATGAAATAAATTTTAATACTATGAGTATATGGATGGTGAGTGAAATAACAGAATAGATAAAAACCTCCTGAAGCACTATTCTTCAAACTAACGAGAAGGGAAATTCCTTTACAGGATTGATATTAGCAATAAATATATATGTATAATTTATATATATATTTATACAATTTATATGTTCTGATACAATAAAAATTATAAATAAAACATATACACATATAAATTATTTATCTGTCTGTCATAAGGTATCACATGTGGGAACAGATCACTGGGGAAACAAGGTACAGTTTAATGAATTTAAGGTACAATTAAACTAGGCAATTGGTTGTCCACAGGGAAAACAAAAAAATGAATTTGATCTCTGTATTGCTACACAGATAGAAATCAGTTCTAGGTGGAAAAATGGAAAATGAAATTTTAAAACTTTTAGAAGAAAACTAGTTGAATACCTTTACACCTTGGGATAGAAAGAAGGTCTTAAATGAGAAGCCAAAGTGCCCACACACAGATAAATATTTTAACCATATTGAAATCGAGATTTCCACTCATCAGAAGAAACCGAAAAGAAAATAAAAATAAGCTAAACTGGCCGAAGATACCTGTAACCCGTATGGCTGATAAAGAAAATCTCTACAAATCAGTGAGGAAAAGATGATAACCCTATAGACAAATAAACAAAAGTCATAGACAAATAAACAAAAGTCATAAACAAGCCTTTTATGGAAAAGGAAAGATGAATTATCCACAATAAGAAGTCATTTTACACTAAGTACACTGGCAAAATTTAAGAAGTCTAATAAGCTTTGGCAAAGAAGATAAATGGAAACTTATATAACACTAGTGGGAGTGTAGATTCTTACTCCCACATTGGAAAATGATTTGGTATTAAGTTTTAGAGTTGAACATTCATATACCTTTGGCTTTAGAGAAATTCTTAGCGACATGCATACTTATAGTCACTAAATAACTAATAATAACTAAACAAATGGGAAACAACCCAAAGTCCAAAGAATGAATAAATAAGTTGTGGTATATTCATACAATAAAGTACTCATAGCAGTGACTATCAACAAACCATAGCCTCAGACAACATGATTCAATCCTGAAAACACACATAATGCAGAATGGAAAAATAAGTCCCAGGAAACAGTATATACTATGATGACATTTTTTGGTAAAGTTCAGGGAGAAGGAAAATTACATAATGCATTATTTGTATGGATATATGTGTCATAAAATTATAATACACAGGGGAGAAAAAACAAGGAAATAATGTAGACTTTGGGACAGTGTTATCTGTTCAGGGAAGGCATGAAAATGAGATGGTAGAGGAACTTATACATGGATACTAAGTTGTTGAAAATCTTTTGGCTTACTGGTTGTCTTTTATAGGTTCATGCATGTCAGCTTTATCTTCAAGCTCTATAGTTTATGTACATGTTATGCATTCTTTTGCATTTACTAAATAAAAGAAAGGAACCTCTCTGCCAAAATGAGCTAAAGTAAATGTGATAAATAAAAATGTTAACATTAATATATAAGTATTCATTATATTGGCCTTTGTAATTTGTAGTTCCACCCAAAATAAACTTTTTATTTAAGGAGAAAATAAGTAGAAGGCACCAGAGGTGAGGAAGTGGATATAGAGACAATCTTCTCTGTCAAGAGAAGGAAAAGGAGAAGGACAAGGACTGAAAAGGAGTAGAATTTTGGGTTAAGAAGGGAATGACTGGTGGTGTTAGACAGCTGCAAAAGGAAGTTAAAAAGTTAAAGTCAGAGGAGTTTTTAAAACAATTTGTGTATTTTATTTATTTTTTGTTTGTTTTGAGACAGTCTTGCTCTGTCATCCAGGCTGGTGTGATCTTAGCTCAGTGCAGCCTGGAACTCCTGGGCTCAGGTGATCCTCCCGCCCTCAGTGTCCCAAGCAGCATGTGCCACAATGCCTGGCTAATTCTTAACATTTTTTTGTAGAAACAAGGTCTTACTCTATTGCCCAGGCTAGTCTCAAACTCCTGGCCTCAAGCAATCTTCCTGCCTTGGCTTCCCAAAGCATGGGGATTACTGGTATGAGCCACCAGCTGGTATAGCACCCAGCTAATTAATATATTTTAAAGATCGATGTATATTATCATGTTTTAATATTGATTGGAAAAAATCCAGTGAAAAGGTTTCAAATTATGAGAAAAAAATGATAGAATGAGGTCACTGAAGATGAAAAGACTAGGACATTTCATCTGTAATAGGTGGGAAGATAGGATGAGTACAAATGTGGGTCTCTTTATAGGTCTAATGAGGAGATAAAAATTTCTGATTTCTTTATGAAAATGATAACATCAAGAGAGTAAGGCAGAAGCACCAAATGCTTCTAAGTGCATGACTTGATCCTCCCACCTCAGCGTATGGAGTGGCTAGGACTACAGGCGTGTGCCACCGCACCTGGCTCAGTGCACAAAAGTTGAAGTGGATAGTGAGAAAGGGGAATTTCTATAAATTATAAAGGGGAATTATATAAATATAATATGATTACCAGATAATGCTAAATGCCCACTTATGGTTGGTGATTATGGAATTTAAACTAATACGAATCATCCTTTGTGTGATTGCTTTGTTCACAGTTCACAGAATTCCCTGGGTAAACGTCCCTTTCTGCTTATGTTACATTTAAGAGTGCAGGCTCAAAAGAAAAATACCTTTCAAATTGAGCAGTAACATCTTCAAGGCTTTGCACTGTACTGTTACACTTTTCCTGCAAAAGCAGGGTGGCCTGGGTATGAGCAGCACTACTTTTCTCCAGTTCAGCCTCCTTCCTAAGAAAAAGAAATAATTAAAAGGTAAAATGCCACCTACAATTATTACCTTAAGAAAGAAAATGGTATTTACCTTTGAAACTGTGAATCATATAGCTCATATCTTCACCAGTGCATTACCTGCTAAATAGCTCAGATCCTAATTTATGACTTACCTCGAAAGACATGTTTTTTATGCATTTTTCTACTAGCTTCAACTTATCTTTCCTGCTTTTTTACTTTAAAAATTTGGGGGAAGAAGGTAGTAGAATATAAAAGACTATAAAACAAAATCTTAAGATATTAGCCAGGACTAAAGACTGCAAAAGATTAGCAGTTAAAAAACATCTGGATTGAATGAAGTTCCATTCTCTCCATTTAGATACTTGAGAAAGACTATGAACAATTAAAGACACTTCATTTTAAATTACAGAAACAGTTATAAGACTCTGTAGATTTATTCTGATTATATGAATAACCCACATAACACACTATTACTGAAAGATTCAATAACTTCTTTAATGGATTATTTTGCATAGACAGAATGGGTTTTAAGTCATCTTTATAAGCACATGCTATTAAATCTCAGAGATATTTTGGAAATAACATATTTCCAAAGTGGTGATAAAATTTTTAGATATGCATATGAGCTTATGAAACATCTTAAAAAACATATAGAACTAAAAATTGTAAATAAGCATTGTGTACTTATAGACTAAGTTGGACAGTGAGATAAGAAAAACAGCTGATCAAATTCATTCTGTAACAAGTGTGGGATTTCAAAAATATACACACCACAGCAACAGCAATCGAATATTACTAAAGAGTGTATAATAAAAATATTTTCTTCCCTGTCCCCTAGAAGAATTAATTCTTAGTTGGTTTTTCTCTTAAGCTTGAAACTTCCAGGCTAGAAGGGATCTTAGAGATCATCTCATAAAACTCTTCTATAAGTAGAAAATGAAGTAGAAAATGAAAGAAACTAAGATTGTCTTGCTCAGAATCAACTAGCTAGCTAACAAAATTAGTAATAAAAATCATTATCTCTTGACCATTGGACCACAGTTTTTTGGGTTAGAATAAATAATTATCTCAACTTTCCTCTCTGAAAATGACATAATCTTATTTTCCCAAGATTCCTGTTCCCTGAGATTGGCTGTAATATAGAACACCCCTAATCACAATTTTGTATTGTTTCCCCAAAAGCAGGGATATGAAAAACCTTCCTGTTCATTCTCATTACTAATCACAAGAAAACAGAAAAGATTAATAACAAAAGTATCTACTGAGACAGATACACAGGTGTGAGATATATTACAATAACACAAACTCCTATCTAGCCCATAGTCCTTTGCCAAAAAGTGTTTTAATGATGAGATCCCAAGGATTTAAATAATATTTGAAATTTGAACTCAAGAATCAAACCAGACTTTGTAACTTAAATGTAGTAGTTTGTCACTGACCTGTGTTCCTGAACTATGAAATAGGAATATGTAGGCTAAGGAATAGTTTCTCTTAATAAATAAAAAATTAGCAAATACTATGGACAAAACAAAATGAAATAAATAAGTGCACGGGAGAAGGAAACATAATGTGGCAGAAATTATAAGGAACTAGAATTAGGGAAAAAAGTGAGATTTCAGTCTTTTTTTTTTTTTTTGAGACAGAGTCTCCCTCTGTCGCCTAGGCTGGAGTGCAGTGGTGCAACGTTAGCTCACCACAACCTTTGCCTCCTGGATTCAAGCAATTCTCCTGCCTCAGCCTCCTGAGTAGCTGGGATTACAGGCATGCGCCATCACACAGGGCTAATTTATTTTGTATTTTTAGTAGAGATAGGGTTTCACCTTATTGGCCAGGCTGGCCTCAAACTCCTGACCTTCTGATCTGCCTGCCTCAGCCTTCCAAAGTGGTAGGATTACAGGTGTGAGCCACCGTGTCTGGCTGAGATTTCAAAGCCTTTCTACTGTAAATAATATATTTCTTATTTTTGAATGTTTCCTAGTTCTAATTATTTTTTCTCATTTGCTTTTTATCAGTTATTGATTCAGAGGGCATCTTGCTATGTTGCCCAGGCAAGAGTGCCATGGCTATTAACAGGCACAATCATTGAGCACTACAGCCTCAAACTCCTGATCTAAAGATCCTCCCATCTCAGCCTCCTGAGTAGCTGGGACTTTAGGCATGTGCCATTGTGTCAGCCTGCTTTGCATTTCTGAAGTGTTTGTGCTCCCTGAAAAATACAATTAAAAGTGTAACTTACACTATGTAAATGCATAGACAAAAAATGGGAATGCTATTTATTAACGGGAGGGATTCTTTATATTTTTCCCCCAAGTTCATTATTATTTTTTGTTTTTGAGACAGAGTCTCGCTCTGTTGCTCAGGCTGGAGTGCAGTGACATGATCACGGCTCACTGCAGCCTTGATCTCCTGGGCTCAAGTGACTCTCCTCCCACAACTTTCTAAGTAGCTGGGACTACAGGCACACGCCAATATGCCCAGCTAGTTTTTTTTTTTTTAATTTTTAGTAGAGATGAGGTCTCACTATATTGCACAGGCTGGTCTCAAACTCCTGAGCTCAAGCAATCCTCCCACCTTGGCATCCCAAAGTACAGGAATTGCAGCCCCGAGTCCATTATTGTTCTAATGCTGATGTCCAATAAATTTCAGAAATTATCAGAGCAGTAAAGAAGTGCAAAACTTTTGTCATTTGTTTATTAAAACTCTCTTTGGACTTAAAAAAAAGGGGGCAATATGTTTAACTTTTAACTTAAAAAAGGGGGCTGTCTTGTTTGCATGTACATTTTGTGTACACATTCTGTGTCTACTACTTAATTGTAAAATAATAATTACTACTTAATTGTAAAATAATTCCAACCTCACATGCTCACATGATTGATATGAGAATACTAAAAAAAATGTACTCAAAATAATTTGTGGCATCTGTAGTCATACATAAACATGAGATCCTATTAATACAAACCCTTTCAGCTTTCCTTCTAGGAGTTTTAATTCTTCAGCTCTAGATTTTGCTTCCTCTTCCAATTGCTTGACCAGCCTTTCAGCTTGTTCCTCCTTTTGCTGTAATTTATCAAGCTCATCCAGTGCTTGCTTTAATTCTTCCTCAAAGAGATTCTTCTCTTTAACCACTTCCTCTTGAAAAGAACAGAGCTTTTGATGAAGACTAGCAGATAATTCCTATATCCAAACAGAAAATCACCAAAATAAATTGGAATGCCATTGTGAGGTTGTACTAGAAGACAAAAAAAAAGTACAGATAAAGAAGGATGAAACCTAAATGCAAGAGATTCAAGGAAACTTAAAACAATATAGAAATAGCATATTTGTTTTCATAGATTATTTCCTATACCTTGTTAACATTGCAGCAAATATCATCTTAGGCTTTTTTCTATGCAACGCACATGCAGAAACTTCTTAAACTAAAATTATATTTTATATATATATATCTGCTTTCCAATTGGCTTTGATATTAATATAATGTTTCACATATTATCTAAAAAGTATGTGGTGATTTCCATATTATATAAAATTATTTTTTAAGCTATACAATAAACAAATAAATCATCATTGTGAAATAATTCTAATATTACAAATGATGTTAATATTATCTTTGATGACTTCCTCCCCTAATTTTAGTTTTCCCATTGCAGAGATAGCTACGAGTTTGGAATATATATATGCCTTCTGGTATTTTTCTATACACTTATATATACATACACATTTGGGGAGGGATATAAATGATATATACTCTGTTGTTGATATCTTTCCAGGTCAGTATATATTCCTCAATTCCTTTAGCTGTTGTAGGTTGTCTAACAGTATAATATTTCACATCAGTGCATGTAAGAACCTGTTGGTTTAACTCTCACCAGTATTTTATATTATCAAATGTTTTAATTTGTGCCAATTTTGTAAGTGAAAAAAATATTATTTCTACTTCCTTGGTTACTACTAAGGTGGAGCATCTTTCTACATTTACGGGCCATCAGAACTTCGCCTTCTCTTTTTCTATCCTATGCCCATAATTTTTTAGTGGACTTTCTTTCTTCTCACTGATATGTAAAATGTTCTATAAATAACCTGGATTTTAAAAATTGCTTTGTTTCTTCTGTAATTAGACACTCTTCTACAAAGTAAGCGTAAATGTTTACATAGCCTAAATCACATAAGCATGAACCAGAAAATTTTTTAAAAAATTATTTCCCTGTTTTGCTGCATCTGTTGCCATTTTCCCACATTATTCATAACCCTGTGGTGAACATGTAGTGAAAATATGTAGCTAAATCCTCAGCAAATCCATGATTATGTCCTCAGGATAAGACTCTAAAGATACAGAACTCTTAGATCAAAGAATATACACAGTGTAAAGGCGTTCAGAGGCATAGGGAAATGTATGACACAAAATAAATGGTTTGAAAAAATATGGTAGTAAATTACTTTCTCTTGCTGCAGAAGTGAATCAACTTGCAGTTGTTTTTGTTGAAGCTTTTCACATTCCTGTTGTTCAAGAATAAGCTTCTGTTTTAAGTTTTGCATCTCAGCATTTAGATTTTCATTGTGTTCTCTATTCCTGTTGATATGGTCTTCTAGAAAGTGCAAAACATGAAAAATACTGGAATTAGATAAGAACATTAACACTGAGAAACTGGACTCCCATAATATTCCTTTATACTGCTTTTAGCATGGTATTTCCAAAGAAAAAAACACAACTGTGAACTTTGTATCATTACATAGAATATATATTATGTGCTACATAATAAAATCCACAAATCTTGTTCTGTGTATCTACTGATTTTTAAATAGCCACCTAGTGGAAAAGTCAAGAATTATACGACTGTACATATTTCAATCAAGACAGGTAATATGCTGTATTGAAACAAACAGAAAACAAACATTATAAGAGTAAAATATTCTAAAATGCAGTACAGGTTTTTGCTGTTGTACAGCTATATAGCTAATTATATTTAAAATGTTAGTATAGCTAATTATATTTAAAAGGTTGTTTTAGCATAGCAGTATTTTTCCTAAATGTTGTATGTAACACTTATCTAAAGAAAGTAACTATAAAACACTGTAATACCTTTTTCTTTTTCAAGCAGCTGACATTTTGCATTTAGATCGTCTACTTGTTTAGATAATATAACAATATTCTCCTCAAGAGACTGCTTAAGGCTTAACATTTCATCATTCTTCTCTTTCAAATTTTCTTCTAACTGGGCAACATCTAGCTTGTATTTTTCCACTTGATCTGAAGCACAACTGCATTAAAACAAATTGTCTTAAAAAGCACATCTATTTAGGCACAGGGAAAAATAACAGAAAAATGATAAAAATGATTCAGTATTAAAAAAATAAGGTTCAATTTAAAGCTACTGCTCATATTACCTAATTTCTTCGATGTATTCCAAGAGTTTTTCTGTTTCAGATTTTTCATCAATCTTTTCTTTCTCTATTGAAACACTAAAACAAAAATTGCATATGTTAATACATTCTAGTTTCATTACTTAATAATCATACATAATGCTTATGTACCAGATACTGCTGTATCAGGCAGGCTGACTCCAGAGTCCTAACTCTTAACAATTATTTTATGTGATTTCTCAAATTCAGAATTTATATCCAAATACAAGACTAAAATTTTTATTTAAGTGATAAAGTCTTCTGAATATACACTGACAAAAAACCTGTAATGACAAGAACCATCATTACAGTATCCCAAGTGTTAGAAATAATTTTTTTTTGTGGTCTTCCTGGTTTTCCCACCCACCCAACATACTAAATAGCATTTTGTGTGCCATAAAGCTTTTGTCCCAGACTACCTGGTATTCGATTACTTATCTGTTTACCTCCACCAAACCGTCCAATGCAAGAAATGGACAAAAGACTTCAACAGACACTTTGCAAAAGGTGATATGCATATAAAATGGTCAATAAGCACATAAAAATATGGTCAACATTCATAGCAACAAATTAAAATCACAAAGGAGATACCACTTCCTACCTAGTAGAAAGGCTAAAATCAAACAGACAACATTAAATGTTGGTGAGAACCTGTAACAACTGAAACTGTCATACATTGCCAGGGGGTGTATAAAAATGGCAAAACCACTTTTGAGTTTTAAAAAACATTATATATACACTACCCTATTACCCAAGAATTCTACTCCTAGAAATTTATCTGAGAAATAAAAACATGTCCATAAAAAAACATAAAACATGTTCACAGCAGTCTTTTCAATGGCAGAAACTGGCAACAGCCCAAATAATGATCAAAAGGAGAGTAAAGAGATGGAGGTATATTCATAGGGTGAACCACTACTCAGAAATAAAATAGGAAAAATTATAGTACACAGAACAGATTGGATGAATCTTGAAAAATTACATCAAACAAAAGAAGCCACACACACACACATGCTCTTTCTCTCTTGCATGTCCTAAAAAAAGGCAAAACTGGACAGGTATAGCGGCCATGTCTCTACCTCCAGCACTCTGGAAGGTCAGGGTGTTATCACTTAAGTCCAGGAGTTTGAGACCAGCCTGAGTAACACAGCAATGCCCCATCTCTAAAATAATAATAATAACAATAATAATGATAATAAATTAAAAAAGGGAAAGCTAATTTATGATGATGTAAGTGAGAAAGTAGTTGTGGGGATGGGAACATGGCACAGGCAGTAGCAGGGAGACAAGAAGGGGTGTGAAAGAACTTTCTGAAGGGATGAAAATGTTCTCTATCTTGTTTGGTAATGGTTACATAGGTGTATACAACTGCTAAAGTCACCAAACTGAACACTTACTATCCACACATTTTATTATATGTAAATTAAAGCTCAAAATCAAAGCCTATGATTGTGCAAAAATCACAACTTCCTATACCAGTGTTTTTCCATTTCAATCTAATGACCACTTTCATAAGATCATGAAACCTTTCCTCATCATTAATACAGAAGATGTCCAAAAGTAATGCACTCATACAACTTTCTAGCACATGTTTGAGAATGATTAGGGCTCATTCTCATTTAAAAAAAGAAATAGGGCAACTGGAGGGAGGCAATGAGATAAGTACTAAGAGAAGTCTGAAGTCTCAGTAAACAATAATTTGTGAAGAGAGTCAAATCAAGAATTGCTTCCACTTAACAAGTTCTCTTCACATTCAGTCACTTACAGTTTTCCCTCCAGTTGGGCTATTTTCCCCTGAGACTCTTCGAGACTTCTTTGGGTGACCTGCAGCTTCATCTCCATGCCTTCTTGCTTAGCCATCATACCCTACACAACAAAGATACGTGTTTTAGGAAATGAGAAAATTGTACTGATCCCCAGATCCAGACACAGCAAACCTGCCAAAGGCAGCACTCACCCTCATCTTTGTTTCTCTTTTGTTTCTAAGTTTCATCAACTCCAAGCTTAGAATTCTCAAATTCTTCTGGTTACCATTTTCAGAAAACTAAGTACAACAAACACATAAAAAATTCAGAAATATTTTCTGCTAAGATATATTTAAAATACACAAGTATTGATTTTTCTACCTATCACTGGGGTTATGTTTTTGACTGTAATATGCTTTGGTAGAGAGAACAGTCTTTGACCTACACCATAATTACTGATTGATTTTTTTTTCTTTTGTTTTTAAGAGATCAAGTCTCGCTTCGCTGTCCAGGCTAGAGTGACGTGGCATGATCATAGCTCACTATAATCTCAAACTCCTGGACTCAATCCTCCTGCCTCATCTTCCTGAGTAGCTAGGATTACTGGTGTGCACCACCACCATGCCTAGCTAATTTTTCAAGTTGTTTATAGAGATGGGGTCTTGATATTTTGCCCAGGCTGGTCTCAAATTCCTGGCCTCAAGCAATTCTCCAGCCCTCAGCCTTCCAAAATGCTGGAAATACAGGCATGAGCCACTGCACCGGTCTACTGTTCTTATCCCTCTTTTCCTTAATATGACTTGCTGGTTTGTTTTGATTTTATTTTTATGAGACAGAGTCTTACTCTGTAACCCAGGCTAGAGTGCCGTGTTGCTCACTGCAACTTCCACTTCCCGGGTTCAAGCGATTCTCATGCCTCAGCCTCCTGAGTAGCTGGAATTACAGGTGTGTGCCACCATACCTGGCTAATTTTTGTATTTTTAGTAAAGATGGGGTTTCACCATGTTAGGCTAGGCTAGTCTCGAACTCCTGACCTCAAGTGATCCATCCGTCTCAGCTTCCCAAAGTGCTGGGATTACAGGTGTAAGCCACTATGCCTGGCCTGCTGGTTTAGTTTTGAAAGGTTGTTTGGGTGGTCACTTACCTCTGTGTGCTGGAAAGTGCATTGCAAGATTCTAAAGCAAGTCCCTGAGAAAGGATTTCTTGAAACATGTTTGCTTAACAAAATAAATCTGAATTGCCTGGTATACTTTGTTTTGTTTTGTTTTTTTGAGACGGAGTCTCACTCTCTTGCCTAGGCTGGAGTGCAATGGCGCCATCTCAGCTCACTGTAATCTCCACCTCCTGGGTTCAAGCGATTCTTCTGCCTCAGCCTCCAGAGTAGCTGAGATTACAGGTGCCCGCCAATGTGCCTCGCTAATTTTTGTATTTTTAGTAGAGACGGGGTTTCTCCACGTTGGTCAGGGTGATCTTGAGCTCCCAACCTCAGGTGATCCACCCGCCTTGGCCTCCCAAAATGCTGGGATTACAGCCGTAAGCCACTGCGCCCGGCCCGAAAAAACATGTTTATATTTATTCAACTGTAAATGTTATCATGAGGCTCAGATACCTTAGATTTTAGTAGTTCATTAGTCCTGGTCAATTCAATAAGTTGTTTCTCCAGTGTAGCATTATTTGCAGAGAGAGACGTTTTTTCCCTGAGTGCAGCATTCAGCCTTGCTTCCATCTTTTCCAACTCAGTTTCCAGATCCTGCATCCGCCTGTCCTGGGCACCACGTTCCTGTAGAAGAACACGAATCTGGACAAAAACAAGGTGATAATAAATGATTACGAATAATCACCCTGAAAGTTTCTGGAAAAATCTCTGATTTTGACATTATGCTTGTAGATATTCTAATGTTACTAGCTATCTGAATAATCATATTTACCTATGATACATCTTAAAAGTCTTAATGCATTTTAAGAACAGAAGAACTTTAGTTGCCATAAATTCCAAGTACAATTAAGCTATTTATTCACTTTTTTTTTTTTTTGAGATGGAGTCTTGCTCTGTTGCCCAGGCTGGAGTGTGGTGGCAGCATCTTGGCTCACTGCAAGCTCCGCCTCCTGGGTTCAAGCAATTTTCCTGCCTCAGCCTCCCGAGTAGCTGGGACTACAGGCGCCCCCCACCACGCCCGGCTAATTTTTTGTATTTTTAGTAGAGACGGGGTTTTACTGTGTTAGCCAGGATGGCCTTGATCTCCTGACCTCGTGATCCACCCGCGTCAACCTCCCAAAGTGCTGGGATTAGAGGCATGAGCCACTGTGCCCGGCTGCTATTTATTCACGTTTAAGGCATTTCCACCTATAATAGTTATTTTCTGTAGCTTCAATTACACAAATTCAAATTAGCTTAAAATACTAAATGTTTTTTATTTCAAGAAGGCAGAGCTGGGCTTCTGAGGAGAATGTACTAGGCATTGGCAAGCCATCATTCTTGCTGCTATTACCAGATTTAAAAAACAAAACAAAACAACAAACCCCCCCCAGACCAATATTTGTCCACAGAAAATGTGGAAGCCAAAAGACTACGAAATGAAATGATATTTTTAATGTCATGGGGGGAAACCTGCCACCCTAAAATTCTACACCGAATGAAGTCACTGATATAAATTATTAGTTCTAATCCTGGCTCTACCACTCACTCACCAGCTATCTGACTGAGACTCAGTGATTATTCCTCAGTGATTAAATATCAACCCCTACATGTATCCTCAATAAAATGATAGCTAACATGATTAGAATACATACAAAACAATCAGAGCAACTGAGCAGACATCTACAGTTACTCTGACATACTCTTGGTCAAAAGCCAACATTCGACTGTAATCAAATGAAAGATTTTAATATATCGAAAGAATATATCCATAAGAAAAAGAGTTGGTTAGCAACGGAAACAGAAAAAAAAGACGGCAGAGAAGCAAAGTTCACAGTGAGCTGCTTAGCATTGCTAGGAAAGTAAATGGGTTCTTTAGGTCAGTACTGTTCAATAGAAATTTCTGTCATGGTGGAAACGCCCTGTCCAGTATGGTAGCTGCTAATCACATGTGGTTATTGAGCACTTGAAATGTGATTAGTGCAACTGAGGAATTCAGTTCTTTTTTTTTTGAGACGGAGTCTCGCTCTGTCGCCCAGGCTGGAGTGCAGTGGCCAGAACTCAGCACACTGCAAGCTCCGCCTCCTGGGTTCACGCCATTCTCCTGCCTCAGCCTCCCGAACAGCTGGGACTACAGGCGCCCACCACCTCGCCCGGCTAGATTTTTGTATTTTTTAGTAGAGACGGGGTTTCACCGTGTTAGCCAGGATGGTCTTGATCTCCTGACCTCGTGATCCGCCCGTCTCGGCCTCCCAAAGTGCTGGGATTACAGGCTTGAGCCACTGCGCCCGGCTGAATTGAGTTCTTAATTTTATCTTATTTAATTTTGATAGTCACATGTGGTGAGTAGCTACCACATTGAACAGCATAGCTCTGTGTTATTTCACCCATGAGGAAGGCCTATACCTATTGTGCAGAGCAATGCATGGAGTTAGCCTACCTTCATCACAGTCTGACCAGCTGGGATTGCATGCTCACTAAGAAATCCTCTAGCTATGTTGTCTTAACGTAAGTCAGCATACAGGAAGAGTGTGAACGATGGATAGATATAAATATCTGATCCACATATCTAATTGTAATCAACTGACATAATGATTTTCAGTTATCAGTTTTTCATTAAGTGGGCTATCTTGAATCTTGGCGTTGCCAGCATACCACATTAACATAGCCTGGATAGATCTGTGAAATATTGTAAGAACTGTTTTCCCATACGCACTGTTCTGAATGGCATGTTTCCCTCACTGCAGGACTCCTCACACTGCAACAGAATCCTTATCTCTTAAATCTATGTAACTGTTTCTATCATATGTACTTTTCAATAAGTTGAAAGCACTGCTTACCTCTTTCTCTAATATCTTCAAATCTTTATCATTCTTTTGAGATTCCTTCTGTTTAAAAGCCAAAGAAAACTTATAAGCAAATTTAGATGTCACAAATATCACAGCCAAATTTGTTTCTTAGTTACCAGAAAAGATTAAGGGATCCAAACAGTTTCTATTTCAAACATTACACTGAGTCTGTTAAAAATTTTGTGGGTCACTCATCTGATAACTAAAAGATTCTAAAAATCTCAAGATATTTTAGGTTTAAAAGTTTTCAACCCAATAAATCAGGATTTTCCTAATCAGTCCAGTGAAAAGAACAGGTGGAACTTTATGAATAAAGCTACTGACTGCCTCCCTCTAATGTTAAACAGCAATACATCTTGAATATTTCATTATGCTATCTCAGAAAGAATCTTACAAAGAGAAATCAACTTAAACTTTGATACCCAAAGAGGAAAATATACAGATGCAAAGAAATACAAACTGAAATAGCATAAGCTCTGATTCTAATTTTCTCATTGGCTTTATTCTAAATAAGACATACAATTTTCACACTGTATCTTTTTATATCCAACAGACTTTCTGACACAATGGCTAGAAAAAGACTATCTTTTCCATCTAAAAATGGAAGAAAGGGATCAACATCTTGAATGAAATCTGTTTTAGATGTTTGTAAGTGGGGCAGGAGGTGGGAGTGACATCAGTGTCATGTTTATTAATTTCACACTCCATGAAATTTTTTATGGGGAGGGACTATTATTTTGGGGCTCCATACAAACTTGTATGTAATTTAGTTTTCTAAGGGGCTTTATAAATTACAAAATTTCAGGACAGTTTCTTCAAGAAATTTAAGTCAAACCACTTACATCAATTTCTAAGAAGAGTGTCTATAACAGTCCTGCCCAATAAAAATAATGCAAACCATGTATGCATTTAAATTTTTCTAGTAGTGTGTTTAAAAAGTAAAAATCTTAATATATTTTACTTAAGCCAATATATCAAATATATTACTTCAGCATGTCACTAGTATAAAATTATCAATGAGATGTTTTATATTTTTGTACTAAGTCTTTAAAATTTTCTTTGTATTCTACACTTACAGCACATTTCAATTCAATGCTAAATTTTCATCAGAAACATTTATGTATGTTTAGTTTCATAAAACACAGAGAGGAGAAAGTAAATTCACATACTCAAGTTGTTCCAAAAATATTTAAAAGTGTTCCACTAACAAAATTGAGTATATCTTTAAATATATATTAATTAAAATTAAATAATATTAAAAATTTAGTTATTTAATAGCACTAGCCACATTTCAATTGCTCAACAGACACATGTGGCTATGCTTCCATGCTGAACAACACAGCTCTATATTATAGAATATGAGGCTTAGGCAACTGCCAAATGAATGAAGAACCTAAGCCTAACTTTTCCCAACTCTGAATATTTTTCACATCAAAAAACCTAGTAATTTGTACAAATTTTTAACTTTATTTTTTTTTTGAGATAGGTCTCACTCTGTTGCCCAGGCAGGAGTGCAGTGGCAGGATCTAGGCTCACTGCAACCTCTGCCTCCCTAGGTTCAAGCAATTCTCCTGCCTCAGCCTCTCGAGTAGCTGGGATTAAGGCACGTGCCACCACACATGGCTAATTTTCTTGTATTTTTAGTAGAGACGGGGTTTCACCATGTGGGTCAGGCTGGTCTCGAACTCCTGACCTCAAGCAATCACCTGCTTCAGCCTCCCAAAGTGCTGGGATTACAGGCGTGAGCTACTGTGCCCGGATGTCTTTTTTTTTTTCTTATTTTTGGAGAGACTGAGTCCTGTTCTGTTGCCCTGGCTGGAGTACAGTGGCGCCATCTCAGCTCATTGCAACCTCTGCCTCCCAGGTTCAAGCAATTCTCCTGCCTCAGCTTCCCAAGTAGCTGGGACTACAGGCATGTGCTACCATGTCCAGCTAATTTTTGTATTTTTTAGTAGAGACGGGGTTTCACTATATGTTGGCCAGGCTGGTCTCGAACTTCTGACCTCAAGTTATCCACCTGCCTCGCCTCTCAAGGTGCTGGGATTATAGGCGGGAACCACCGCACCCCTCCAGCTGTCTTTTAAAAAGTATTATATGGCGGCCAGGTATGGTGGGCCACGCCTGTAATCCCAGTTCTTTGGGATAGATCATCCGAGGTCAGGAATTCGAGACCAGCCTGGCCAACGGGCCAACATGGTTAAACCTCATCTTTAGTAAAAAGACAAAAATTAGCCAGGCGTGGTGGGATGTGCCTGTAATCCCAGCTACTGGGGAGGCTGAGGCAGGTGAATCGCTTGAGCCTGTGGGGACAGAGGCTGCAGTAAGCTGAGATGGTACCACTGCACTCCAGCCTGGGAGACAGAGTGAGACTCCATTTCAAAAAAAAAAAAAAAAGTATTATGTAGCTTGCCTGATTATAAACTTATGAAAATAGTAATAGTAGCTCTTGCACAAGCCACAAGACTATTAAGAATTTAATCTGTCACCACTCCTTAACAGTTTCTCAGTATCTTTCTTAGATATTGGCATTTTCCCCCTTTTCTTCAAAACTACTTACCCTTCCCTACAAACAAATACACAAAATCAAAACAACTCAAATGGTGGTACTCAATAAATGAAAGCATCACATACTTTTGAAATCTTTACTAGGTAATAAACAATTTAAACATGGAAGTGACTGAGAATTGAAGACCATTGTAATTGTGAACTAAGGGCACATTTAAACATAATGACCTAGGCAGAAATGGAACACTTGCTAGAGTTCTAATGATAACTCATTTCATTAATTCACAGATTTACTTATAACCTTGATTCAGACACTTAACCCATTCTAATCAAATACAATACTTTCAGATGTTTTTGATGACACAGTTGATAAACCAGCTGGCATATAAAAGCTCATCACCTTTGATTCCGAAGACTTAACTTTTCTAGCTGAAGCAGGCAAAGTAGTATCTTTGTCAACATTAAGATTTTGTTTAGATTCTGCAGAAAAATGAATTGTACAGATCATGGTTGGTGTTAACATGTTTTAACTACACACAAAACACAATTTCCAGTTTTTTTTCTTCTTTTTGTTTTTTGAGACAGTGTCACTGTTACCCAGCCTGGACTGCAATGGTGTGATCTCGGCCCACAGCAACCTTTGCCTCCCAGATTCAAGCAATTCTCCCACTTCCCTCCCTAGTAGCTGGGACCACAGGCGCACCCCACCACTCCCGGCTAATTCCTGTATTATTAGCAGAGATGAGGTTTCGCCATGTTGGCCAGGCTGGTCTCGAACACCTGAACTCAAGTGATCCACCCACCTTGGCGTCACAGAGTGCCAGGATTATAAGCACGAGCCACCTTGCCCGGCCCCAGATTTCTAATTGCAACTTTTGATGAAACAATATATTCTTTTCTTAGTTGCACATTTTCAAATAATTACACAATATTTTTACACATCTAATATGGTTCTGATTTTCTTACTATTCCCTGACAGGTCAAGGTAATTACTAAAAGGCAAGCTACATATCAATATGAGTGTCTTGCTTAATTCTCCTGGTTATATAACAACGTAATGATGACAGCATTATTCTGTACTTGACCGTTTCATAAATCCATCAAATACAATTTAAACATAGTTCTAGCTTCACATTTTAAAAAATGCTATAACATCTTTAAATATTGTTATTCATAACTTTAAACTTACAAGATCACATAACCACTGTTCTTTGGTGATCTATTACCTTTCTGTTGTTTAAATCTTTGTGATTTCTGAAACGATACTGGTCCTTTCAATACTTCTGAAGTTTTAACATCATAAGCACCAGGAGATGGTGCGCAACCTAGAGGAAATAGAAAACATTAATATATCATCTAATGTTATTTATGATCTTAAGTTAAAACATGTCATAATAAAGTGAATATAAATGTAAAAATGTCATTAAGAAACTGCTTCTATTTTTTTAAATGTAAAAAATTGCATCCATTTGATATTATAAAGAAGGCCTCTCTATGAAGAACAATATCATCTTGCCCTTTATATCAGCTGGGTCAGAGGAACACAGGCAACTGAGCAAACGACAATTTTTGAGATGAACATCATGTATTACAGGCAATATATGGCTTTCTTACTAAGGACTGAATATAGCAAATAAAATACTTGGTGTCAACTCTACTCAAAGAGAGTCACAAAGGTAACTACTGTTGGTTTCTAGAAATAAAGTAATTAAAACTGTCTATCCCTCAATGTTTAGCCTAGAATAAAAATTTATAGTGATAATCCATCTCTGGCTAATGTCAATACATCAGACCTATTGAAGATGTCAACTGCAATTCAAACACACGGAAGAAAAGCAACCACACTAGAGCAACTAGAATTTTTTGAGCACTTACTAAATGCCAGACATTATGCTAAGCATTTTATAGATGTCATTTTATTTAATCCTCACAAGAACACTATGTGATAATTTACAGATAAAGAATGTGAGGCTTAGGAAATTCAAAAAGCCAATGTTATGCAAAGTAAAAACTGTACTAGACTATATTTCTATGTTCCAAAAGTTTATACTGCATAATTTCACTTAACTAAAGTCCCAGATTTGAAGGCATTTCTGAGTAAATAAACATAGCAGATTTGAGATGGGGCCCTTAGGACTTAAAATAATTAAAATACTATTAGCCTAAAGCTTTAGCTGATTGGGAACAAATAGATTAATACTATTCTCTGAAAAGCTATTTACTTCAGTCTAGAGTCTCATGCAAATAAATAGGAAGAGCAAGGAGCTTGGACCATTCTCAGGCAACTACTGCAGTCCCCTAAATGTCTGTCGAATGGTAGACAGAAACTCATTATTATTATTATTTTGCGATATTGTCTTGCTCTGTTGCCTAGGTTGGAGTATAGTGGCACCATCTTGGCTCACTGCAACCTTTGCCTCCTGGGTTCAAGTGATTCTCCTGCCTTAGCCTCCCAAGTAGCTGGGATTACAAGCTCCCGCCACCATGCCCAGCTAGTTTTTTTGTATTTTTAGTAGAGACAGGGTTTCACCATGTTGGCCAGGCTGGCCTCAAACTCCTGATGTCAGTTGATCAGTCTGCCTCAGCCTCCCAAAGTGCTGGGATTACAGGTGTGAAGCACCATGCCCAACCCCGTGAGTAGATCTTGATTAGCATTTTTGAAAAAGTAAAAACGATAGAAAAAGCATGACTCATACGCTGCAAAGTTAAGCATTGTTTTGTGAAACTTTTCTTTCATATATATGTGTAGAGATATAAAAATACATCTTAGGTTGAAATATAAATTTCTGGGTTTTTTTTGCTTTTTTGTTTTGAGACAGAGTCTCGCTCTGTTGCCCAGGCTGGAGCGCAGTGGCGCGATCTCCACTCACTGCAACCTCTGCCTCCCAGGTTTAAGTGATTCCCCTGCCTCAGCCTCCCAAGTAGCTGGGACTACAGGCATGCGCCACCATGCCTGGCTAATTTTTGTATTACTATTATTATTATTTTTATTAGAGATGGTTTCACCATGTTGGAACTCCTGGCCTCAAGTGATCCACCCGCGTTGGCCTCCCAAAATGCTGGGATTACAGGTATGAGCCACCGCGCCTGGCCTAGAAATACAAAATTTATTTCTCACCCTGGGAAACAGTTTAAAAAGTATTCAAGTCATTGCTTTAATGAATTCTAAGTAAACCATAAAAACTCTATTAAGGACAGAATTAAGTATCCATTCCTCTATCTGGAATAATGATCATTTAGATGTACTCACACAAAGACTCTAATGCTGGAAACTTTCAGATCTAAATGTGGTCAGTCATGGGTAGAGGTAGTGGATTTCCAAGCAGGAAGGAGAGTCTCAAAATGAGGTGTAGAATTCAGGACAGTAAGGTAAGGGTAGGCTTTGCAAAAAGCATTAATCTTGGCTGGCTCAGGTTTCCCACACCTCACAAACTATTTACACCTTGGGTTGAAATGTGGGGTAATAGGGGTTCTCTAAAATTAGGCTAAGTGTGGTACATCTTAGAGCATCTATTTTATTCATTTGGGGTAGGGGTGGGAAGTAATGAAGAATGTAGTGTATTTTGAAGCAAATAGAAGACTTCAGAGAAAACCGCCACCACTACTGGTAGCTATGCCCTTTGGGGGTAAGTCGGGAGGGATTCAGAGCCGGTGGTTATTCTCTTTTGCTCTCTGCTCTTAGAAATGCTGCTGTGGAAAAGCATGAGAAGCACTGTTCTAGATTTAGCAAGCAGCCAGCAGAGAAACAGAACACAAAAAATTAAATCAGGCTGAATTCTTCCTAGGTACACTGAAAAAACTCAACAATGTACCTAGGATGAGTTCTAGTATTCTAATCCCTCACTGGGTCCACTCTCAAGGAGATAAGGGCCAGCAAAACATGGGAGAGTGGATGTGACTAAGCAGCATGTGCAAGTTGCGAACAGTTAAGGCCATATTTAACAAAACTTCTTCCCTAGAGACTCTACAGAGTCGGGTTTGATAGTTAAAGGGATTTGGATTCAAGAGCAACTAGGCTGAAACGGAGCCTGTACACTTACCAATACTTTGTGAGACTGTGGCACATGCCATTTTCATGTTCTATATATTTTTCTTAACTCTTAAATACACTAGAACATAGGTTTGACTTGTTAGAAATCTGGGGAGAGGGAACATCAGACAAGAGGAATGGGGTATCTTGGGAGAGATCATAAGCTGTCTGGAACAGCTTACATCTTCATCAACAATGAACAAAAGCTAAGCCAGGCAGTCCATACTTGTATGCAAACAAAACATTTTATGTGTTATATTAAACAAATTCTTCAAACTTCCAGACCTCTGTGTTTTCTATTTCTTCCACCTAGAATGAACAGCCCACCTTCTGTTTTGCCAGAAGAGCCTGGATGTTGCCTCTTCTAGTTTTTTCTGAATGCCTAAATCAGGCTAGAAAACTCCCTTCATAGAAACCTGTGCGTATTGTTCCTATCATAGAACTTCTTGGTTTTCTTATGGCTTATGTACTATCCATTTTCCACATTAGCCAGAAGCCTGCTTGAAGTTAGGGAGTATCTTAAACATGTTTGTATCCCCAGTATTTAACTCAGGGTTGAGTTCAGCAGCATGGAAAAGAAAACAGAAAGTATGTTGGGGAGGTGGGAATGGAATAGGCTTTTGTAATCAGTCAGATCAGGGTTCAAATCCAGCTAGGCCTGCCAATCAACAGACATTACTATGGGCCAGATACTTTGTAGATGTATGGAGAAGAGGGTGAATAAAAACTCTCTCTTTTTCCAGTGTAGCTTTAAGCCCCTGGAAAGTGACTTCAGGAAGCTCAGATTCTTCATTCACAAAACACGGATAAAGAACAGTACCTACCTTACAGTGTGGTTGTGAGGGTTACTCGAGTAAGAAAAATCACCACAATGCCTTATACACATTAACATCAAACGAATAATTGGTATTACTCCTGTAACTGTGAGCCTGAAATACTGTATCTTTGGTAAAGCCAGTTTAACCTACTATAATGCAAACAACAACAAAAACAAAAAACCTTAAAGCCACACTGCTGACAAAACTTAAGAGTAGGTCCTTTGATTACTGGGGAAATCATATGGTCCTTGAGTCTTTTAACTAAGAAAATGAGTTTGTGCTGATTCACTTGCTCATTTGGCCTTCCTTTGTGAGTAGTTGTGAACATTTTCATCCACACGTTGGCTGACAGAAATTAGAGATGTAATAAGTAACCATGAAATAGTGTATGATAGTGGATAAATCACGAGCTTTGCTATTTAGCTCTACCACTTACTGGTTGTGCAAGTTACAAAACCTCTGTTTTCTCATCTGTAAAACGGGGTCAATATCAGTACCTTCCTCACTTGGCTTTTGGAAGGAATAAACAAAATCTAGTAGCACAGTCCCAGCATACAGGATCTTAAATGATGAATGCTTACCAAACGCATCTAAGGCTTCCTGGTTACTGTGCTTATGCATTGCGGTGTTAAGAGCACATGATGGGGGCTGGGTTCTTATTCCAGTCCGGGCGCTTTGGTAGTGCAGCACTGAGCAAATTTAAGTCTCAGTCTTTTTATCAATAAAACAATGAATAATAGGATTACCCCTTAGAGTTGGTGGGAAATTAACAACTAATAATCGATGTAAAGCCTTAGTATGGTGCTTGAGGTATAAGTGGTCAATATCAGCAATGATAACTTCATTGTTTATGTTTTCAATAAGTACTACTGCTCTAATTTTACACCTAGAAACTGCCTTTACGGATCTTCCTGCTTTTATGCCCAAATGGAATATACAAAAGAAATCCACAAGTTCAGACTAAAAGTAATACTCCAATGTTGTTATCAGTGAGGCCCTCTCGGACTTGAAAATCAAATAGCTACCAACGCCTCGCCTCCACTCCCTTCGCTCTGCTGTAGTTTCTCCATTACCGCTGTTTATTGACAGTATTCCCCGCCTGAATGTAAGCCCCAAGGGGCGGGGACTGTTTCACTCCCTGCGGTATCTTTAGCATCCTGATTAGTGCTTGGCATGTAACAGATGCTTAGAGCATATTTGAGAAAAATCAATCAATTGAATGAGCCCCAGCCCGATCCTAAAATCGCCTCCTGCTTGCCTCCCAAGAAGGGAGCCGAAAGAGGCAAAGGGCGTTAGGGCGTCTCCCGTCCCCCAGCTCCTTCCCCCTTACGCACCAGAAGGGTCATTGAATCTTTTCAGGGGCGCCTTAGGAAAGGACATGTTGACGGCCAGCTCCAGAAACTGAAGGTCGCTGGCACTCCTCGGCAACTGAATGCGGATTATCACTGCCTACCGGCTTCGAATTCAAAACTCCCCACATTCCCCTCCCACACCGGCGTTAGCCAATTGGAAAGTCAAACTCCTGGGCACACCAATCCCGCAGAGGAATACAAAGAAAGACTGCTGGGTTCTGACTGCGTCCAATTAGCTGGTCTGTGAGTTCGGGCTGCCAGCCAATAGGAAACCGTTACTGTTCCCCGCCCCACCCACCTACCCAGTCATTCCCGGCGTTACTCAATTGTAACCTACGCACCACTAGCATTTGCGCAAGCGCACTTCACTACGGAGGCGTTTGAAAGCGCATTTTGGCGTCACTTAGGTGACTGTGTAGTAAGTTCCGGCTTCACTGGTTCCAGTTCTGTCCCATTGTGCGTTGCATGTGAACTTTTCTGGGTTTCAGTTCTTTCATCCGGGTTCTGCTGGTGCCGTAAATGGCCATTCAAAAGGGAAAACGAACAGGAACACCGAGACGCCAACTTGCGTTCCTGCGCATGTGCAGTGACCCGAGCAGAGTGGCCGAGGCGTAGCCTGAGCGTGGGATTCCGCGCGTGCGCTCGGCTCCGCCTGGTGCGGCTACGGCCGGGAAGCCACTGGACTATGTCGGCCCCATTTGAGGAGCGGAGTGGGGTGGTTCCGTGCGGAACCCCGTGGGGCCAGTGGTACCAGACCCTGGAGGAGGTGTTCATTGAAGTTCAGGTGCCTCCAGGCACGCGCGCCCAGGATATCCAGTGCGGCCTGCAGAGCCGGCATGTGGCGCTGTCGGTGGGCGGCCGCGAGATCCTCAAGGTAGCAGCAGCTCGGGGCTTGTATTCAGTTTCCTCTTCCCAGCCGCCCCTTAAAAGTTCATGGTTTCCCTGAACGACTGTTGGGTGTCCTCACGGCTCCCGTGGCTGGCAGAAAGAGAAAGAGGATAACACTGACCAGGTTTGGGTCTGGTCAGAGCCCGCCTCCTCAGGGCAGATGCTGAGTAGTGGAAATTTGAGGAGCCCATTTTTCTATTTAGTTTTCAAACCAAGTCAGACTGCTGCTTCTGCTTCTCCGAAGGGCTCTAGCTGGGAACAGATTAACTAGGTTGCTAAAGGAACAAATATTTCTTCCGTGCACTGAAGACAGGAAGGTGGCAGGAAGACAGACAGATAACATCCCTGCAGTGGAGCGTAATTAATAAACAGATAAAATAGGAAAGGACAACAAAGAAAACAGGGACAGAATAACGGGCAGAGAATTTAGAGGTGATGTCAGGTGATTAGTTTTGTCATCTAAAAGTTTAAAAATCCTGCATGTTTGTGGAGTGGTCAAGCACGTGGTGAAGAGGTGTGTGCAGAAAATAAGTAGTACCCCTTTTATTTCTTTTCACCAATACCCGTTGGATCTGGACTCGCTTTTTCTTTGTTAAGTGTATAGTTAAGTGAACAGTTTGAAATTAGATTTTGTTCTCAGATTAGATGCCCAAGATGTTTGATGGCAGTGTAATGTGGTGAAGGGAGATTACTTGTTTCCTAGTTTTGTAAACTTGGGCAAGAGATTGTTCAGTGTCTGTATACCTTCCTTATCCACAAGGTACGGTAGTTATAGTACCCTTCTCATAGGATTGTTTTGAGCATAACATGGTATTCATGTGTATGAAGAGCTTGAAGTATTCAGTGGTATGTAATAAGTTCATTCTATATGTTAGCTATTATATATGTTACAGTATATGGAGGTGCTTTGAGTGCCTCAAGATTCCTGTGAAAGACATTAATTTATGTCAGCTTGGATCTCTGTGACTTTTCTGAATTGTACAATTCATAATTTCCTCAACAATGGTTTTAGATTACCATTTAGTAAATCCAGTAACTTTCGGAATTTAGCAGTAACTCTGGGATTTTTGATGTACATATAGACCAGTGGGAGTTTTTTTTCCCACTAATTTTGACATACGTGAAAATGTGGGCTTTTTCTAGTGACACTTTAATTTCACTTTCTATGACTTAAATTTGGCAGCAAATTAAAATGGATTTGAGCTTATGCATTCTCTCTTTTTTTAAAAATATACTTATTTATTTATAGAGTCAGGGTCCCTGTCTCCCGTGCTGGAGTGCAGGGCTGAGATTGTAGCTCACAGCAGACTCGAACCCTTGGGGTCAAGCAATCCACATTGGCCTCCAAAGTGCTGGGATTACAGGCCTGAACCACCGGACCTGGTGCCGTCTCTTTTAAATTTTTATATATATATATATATATATATATTTTTTTTTTTTTTAAAAAACATGAGTTTGTGAACAGTCACAAGTAATCTTTCAAATCTGGAATACGTAAAGTTTTTTTAAATGCCGATTGCCCAACAAAAAGATTAAAACGTTTTTAAAAGTTTACATTAAAAACAACATTTTGCTGGGTGCAGTAGCTCATGCCTATAATCCTGGCACTTTGGGAGGCCTAGGCGGGTGGACCACGAGGTCAGGAGTTCGAGACCAGCCTGGCTAACACGGTGAAACCCCATCTCTACTAAAAATACAAAAATTAGGCAGGCGTGGTGGCGGGCCCCTGCAGTCCTAGCTACTCGGGAGGCTGACGCAGGAGAATCGCTTGAACCCTGGAGGTGGAGGTTGCAGTGAGCCAGATCGCGCCACTGCACTCCAGGCGGGGTGACAGAGCGAAACTCTGTCTCAAAAAAAAAGACAACATTTTTTAGTTTTAGCAGGAGATCCCTTCTTGTGGTTAATTTTAATTGGTAGAATTAAAGCATTTCAGTTACTAATTTCACATTTGGCTAGTGGTCAGCATTATTGTATCTTCTAAAAATTAAGGAGCCCTGATCTTTCTTTGGAGAGCTCTGTGCTCTTTGCCATAGTAAATATCCCTTGCAGTGTAAACTAGTTTCCATTTTACCTACTGGAAGAAAATTTAGGGTTGGGCACCTATAAATGTCATGGTGAAGTGGTGGTATAAGATGTGGATTAGGTAGGAAAGTAGATAAATCTTAATCATGAAAACTTTATACAAATTAAATTCTGTATTTTTAGCACCTTGTATGTTTATTTTTCAGGGCAAACTCTTTGATTCTACAATAGCTGATGAGGGAACATGGACTTTGGGTAAGGGTAATTACTATAATTCATCAAATCTTTTTTTAAAATTAATTTTGTCTTGGTATCTTTTCCCCTTTTGTATTAGGTCTTTTTTGTCTTTGCAGTTTTGAAAGATAAAGCAATAGAAATGTGTTGAAAACCGTTGTATGTCAAAATTACCTACTGGGGGGAGAAAAGATTACTTAGTGGTTTTTGAAAATATAAAATTTAATGAAGAACTTCTTGAGACCAGCCTGGCCAACATGGGGAAAGCTCGTTTCTACTAAAAATACAGAAGTTAGCCGGTCATGGTGGCGCATGCCTGTAATCCCAGCTACTAGGGAGACTGAGGCAGGAGAATCACTTGAACCCCGGGGTGGGGGCGGAGGTTGCAGTGAGCTGAGATCGCGCCACTGCACTCCAGCCTGGGCGACAGAGTGAGACTGTCTCAAAAAAAAAAAAAAAAAAAAAAAACCAACTTGATGAAGAACTCTAATTTCTTTGTGTGTGTGTTTTTTTTAGAGGATAGAAAAATGGTTCGTATTGTTCTCACAAAGACAAAGAGAGATGCAGCAAATTGTTGGACTTCTCTACTAGAATCTGAATATGCAGCGGATCCTTGGGTGCAAGACCAAATGCAGAGAAAGCTTACATTAGAGAGATTCCAAAAAGAAGTAAGTCAGATGAAGTGTATGAGTATGTGTAATTAAATATATAAAAATCATCGAATAAATACTATTTGAAATTGAAACTCAAATGTCATTATGAAGAGTTACAAACATTTTCTAGAAGAATTTTTTAAGTGAATGGTTAGAATAATGGCCTTGTATGGATTTGATTTTTCAAAAGATTTTCTTGAGAGGAATTTATTTGTATTGCTGTGATTTGTGAGTTTAAGCTTACTTTTATGTACATCAGTAATGCATGAATAAACTCTTACTATAGTTGAATCAATATAGACTTACATAGTGTAAAAGTAAAAGGCCCCTTCACCACCATTCTTCATCTGTCTCATTTTCATCTCATATGTTGGCTGTTGTTTGTTTTGTTTTTTAGCATAAATGGAGGATCACACTGTGTGTATTGTTCTTCTTGTTGCTTTTTTATTTAATAATATGCCGTGGGTCTCTTTCTGTACTAGTACATAGGTATAAAACTCATTCTTTTTAACTGCTTCAGAGTATTCTGTAGTTTGGATGTGTTATCATGATTTAGCTGTTTGCCTTTAATATGATTTAGATTTCTTCATTTTTCTCTATTTTAAACAAAGCTGTGCTTTCATCTCTGTGAAACTACTCAAGTGTTCTAAGATATCTTTAAGATAAATATCTGGGAGAGGAATTACTAGATTGTAGCACTTGATAATGTGCATCTTTATGATAATGATTTCCAAATGTATATCTCTAGCCTAGACTTTTTTTCTGAATTTAGGACCTGCATACCCAGTTGCCTATTCAACATCTCCACCTGGCTATCTAATGTATATTAAGCTCAACATGTCCAAGTTGAACACCCTAACAATCCGTCTATATTTGCTTTTACCCGTAGCCTTCTCATCTCAGTTGATGAAAACTAGTAGTTCAGGTCAAAAAAATTTGGGACTCATCTCTGATTCTTACATCATTCTCATACTCTATCCAGTGTATTAGGAAATCTTGTTGATGCTACCTTCCAAATATATTTAGAATTTAACCACTTCTCACCACCAGCTCTACTACCATTCAGATCTGGACCACCTCTAATGTCTTGCCCGGATTACTCTAATAACGTTCTAATTAGTCTTCTCACTTTTACTCTTGCCATAGTCTTCCCAAAATAGCAGTTTTTTTGTTTCTGTTTTTGTTTTTGTTTTGTTTTGAGACGGAGTCTCGCTCTGTCACCCAGGCTGGAGTGCAGTGGTGCAATCTCTGCTCACTGCAGGCTCTGCTTCCTGGGTTCCCGCTATTCTCCTACCTCAGCCTCATGTATAGCTGGGACTGTAGGCTCCCGCCACCACGCATGGCTAATTTTTTTGTATTTTTAGTAAAGATGGGGTTTCACTGTGTTGGCCATGATGGTCTCAATCTCCTGATCTCGTGATCCGCCCACCTCAGCCTCCCAAAGTGCTGGGCTTACAGGCATGAGCCACCGCGCCCGGCCAGTTGGAGCAGTTCTTTTAAAATCCAAGTCATATCATGCCACTTCTCAAACTCTGCAAGTCATTTCTCTATCTCTTACAAGGCCATATCTGTTCAGTTATTCCATTATCTCCTTGACTACCTCCTCCCCTACTGCTGTCCCTCTTAGTGATTCTGCTTTTGCCATACTGGCCTGTTTGCTGTTCCTTAAAGAACATGTCAGCCCATCCCTTTGCTATCGTTCTGACTGCAATGCTCTTCTTCCACAGTTTGGCTTTTATGTTTTCATATCATTGCTCAATGAAGCATACTTTGATCATCCCATTTAAATATTATCATTTTATTTCCCTTATCCTGTTTTTTCTATTATCACTTACCAACTTTTAACACTAGATCAGGGGTTGGCAAACTACAGGCTTTGCGCCAAATTTGGCCCACTACCTGTTTTATAGCTTTTCTAGAACACATATATGCTCATTTGTTTGTATATTGTCTTTCAGATAGTTGAGTATTTGTGTTAGAGACCATGTGGCCTGCAAAACCTGAAATGTTTACTACCTAGTTCTTTAAAAAGCCTGCCAGCCCCTGTACTGGTTGATTTATGGTTTGTCTCCTCCTGCTAGAATGTTAAGTTCCGCTAGAGCAGGGATTTTTGTTTTTTTTTCACTCTTGAATTCTACATACCTCTAATGGTCTTCCAAACAGTAGGAGCTCAACAAATGTTTGTTGGATAAATGAAATAGCCCACCAAAAAGACTAAGGCCTAACATACTACTTTACAGGATTGTTGTGAGGGTTAAATGTCTTACATATATATAGCTCTTAGAGATTTGTGTGGCACATAGAAAGCTCTCAAAAAATGCTAGCTATAGGCCGGGTGCCGTGGCTCACGCCTGTAATCCCAGCACTTTGGGAGGCAGAGGCAGGCGGATCACCTGAGGTTGGAAATTGAAGACCAGCCTGACCAACATGGAGAAACCCCGTCTCTACTAAAAATATAAAATTAGCTGGGTGTGGTGGTGCATGCCTGTAATCCCAGCTACTCGGGAGGCTGAGGCAGGAGAATCTCTTGAACCCGGGAGGCGGAGGTTACGGTGAGCTGGGATTGCACCATTGCACTCCCGCCTGGGCAACAAGTGCGAAACTCCGTCTCAAAAAAATAAATAAATTAAAAAAATTAAAATACTAGCTATTAAATCTATCTACGGACTTTTATTGAAGTATATGTTTCCCCATACACTTGCCAACATTGTAGTATACGTATGATTTCTAAATATTTATAACTAGGAGAGTTGAAAAATGCTTCATAGTTTTAAATATTATTTTGGTGATAACAGTGAAGTCTGTTATATTTTCATGTATTTATTGGTCATTTATATATCTTTTTTATCAATTGCCAGTTTGTACTTGTATTTTTCCTTTTAGGTTTTATTTCATTATATATTTTTATATCTTTTAGAATCCTGGTTTTGACTTCAGTGGAGCAGAAATCTCAGGAAACTACACTAAAGGTGGACCAGATTTCTCAAACCTTGAGAAATAACTGCTTTTTTTTCCTGCATTCTGTGGATCCTAGCAGATATTGCCAGCTTAATCAGAGAAACAGATTATGTAATGGAAGAAAAATGTGGATGCCTACAGTTAACAGATTGCAAAATATATTTTAAAATGGTTCTAAAAATTGCATTCAAACATGATTTACGTAGGAAATGTACTGTGGGAACTATTCTATGGATATATGGTAAAGTTGTTTTGGACTTGTTTTTGCTCAGCATGAAGTTTTATATGCTGCATTTTACTAATTCCATATTTAACCATATTTTTAATACAAAAGAACATTAGAGTATAGATCATGTGAAATGAAGGGTGCCTTTGGGGAAAATTAACTTTTTCTTTTGATAAGTATGATATTCAATAAAGTTTTCTAAATAGGAATTGTGTACCCCTTTGTCTAAGTATAACAATTCAAACAAAATTATAGTGCTGAAAACAATGTTAAGAAAAAGTCCATAAATGTATTTTAAATAAGAGGTAATGAAAATTTCTTAAAGAATATTATTACTTGAGGGATTACTTTATGTCAAGAAGTTTAAAAATAGTTAAAAGCCTAACAGTAGACGTGGATTAACACAAAAGAGAAGTGTGAACATGGTAATTAGGTGAGTCCTTTGTTTGTGGCAGAAAGTGAAGGTCACTAATTGTATATCAGTGGCATTGTTTTTATCTTAAGTGATTTAGGCATATAGGTAGGAATTGTCTATAGACATTCAATATCCTATTTATGTCCTTTTTATTTATATTTTGCCCTTTTTAACTCTTGAAAAAAATTTAAATGTCATGCATAGAAAAGTTACAGATAATTCTTTTCTTTCTGAACCATTTGTGAATTAGTTGAAGACAATGATTCCTCATTACTGATTACTGTTTGCTTCAAATTATCTTACATGACTAGAATGCAACCATTAAAATCAGGAAATTTCCGTTAACATGTTACCACCCACTAATCCTCAGACCTTCACTTCATTCACATTGAGCCAATTGTCCTGATAATGTCCGTATAGCAAGAGGATCCAGTCAGAATCATGCCTTCCATTTAAATGTCAGCTGTCCTTAGTTTACTTCATTCTGGAACAAGTTCTCATTTTGTTCCTTTTACAACTTAGTGCTTTTGACAATTATGGGCTAGTTTTGTAGAACATCCCTTATTTTGAGTTCTGTCCGATACTTCATGATTAGGTTGAGGTTATTCATCTTTGGCAGGAATGTGATAGAAGTACATCTTGTCATAGTTTAATAATTTCAATTTGTCTCATTTCTGATGGTGTTTCTTAGATGACTGATTAAGGTAGTGTCTACCAGACTTCTCCACTGTAGTTATTTTTATAATTATTTTTTGAGAAGATAGTTGCAAAATACTACCTTATTTCTCATCAGACTTTAAATTTATCATATCTTTATAATCTCATTATTTTCTATTTTATTCAGTGGGTTAAAAACCTATTCTCATTACATTGATGCTCAAAATTATTGTACATTTGGCTGGTAGAAGTCCATTTTGGGTGGCCTCTGTGTCCTTCTGACATGTTCCCATCATTATTCAATCAATTTGTTACTCTCTGGCATAAGATATACCAGGCTTCTCATGCTCTCCTTGACCTAACCCAAGAATCAGCCATTTTTCCGTAGAGCCTGGGTTCTCTTTAGTGGGTAATATTTAAAAGCCAAGATCTGTGCTAGTGTGCAATTGCTGTTGGTGTGTATATATAATGCATGTCTTTACATCTGTATTTCTGCATCTGTGTATATTGAAAACCATGAGTTCACATGTAAATTCTAATTCTGTGGGCTTCATTTTCATTTTTTCCCTTTCCATATTTATAACCCCTTTCAGTACCAGTGAGAAACCTGATTCCTATTTGATTCTCTATTTGTGTGTATTTTTTTCTTTTTTGAGTTGGAGTTTTACTCTTGTCGCCCAGACTGGAGTGCAGTGGCGTGATCTCGGCTTACTGCAACCTCTGCCTCCTGGGTTCAAGCAATTCTCCTGCCTCAGTCTCCCAAGTAGCTGGGATTACAGGCATGTACCGCCACACCTGGCTAATTTTTAATTTTTTGTAGAGATGGGGTTTCTCCATGTTGGTCAGGCTGGTCTCGAACTGCTGACATCAGGTGATCCACCTGCCTTGGCCTCCCAAATTGCTGGGATTACAGGTATGAGCCACTGCGCCTGGCCTGATTCTCTATTGTAGGTCATCTCTCCACATGAATGTCTTCCTCACCCTGCTTAGGCTTCGCATCCTTTGCTGAGCAGGGATATCCTCCTCCTCACCCTGCCTGGACCCTAACACCTCACTCCAGGCCATGGCAGTCCATTCACCCTATGATTCCTGTCTTGCTCATTTTAAGAATGAATTGTCAGGGAAGAGTCTATTTTTCTTTTAAGTTTATTCTCTTTGACACTTAACAAAATTTTTTATTTTGAGTAAACAAAGTAAAATTAACATTTTTGGTGTATAGTTTGGTGAATTTTAAGTACAGATATGTGTAAACACCTCCACAATCAGGATATTGAAGCATTCAATCACCATAAGAACTCTTATGCTCTCTTTATAGTCACACCCTACTCCCAGCCCCTAAACCTTGGAAACCACTGATCTAATCCCTGTCTCCATATTTTTGTCTTCAAGCATGTCATAAATGGGATCATATGTAATTAAGAAAAACAGCTTTATTGTAACAACATACATTTCACCCATTCAAAGTGTGTAATTCAGTAGCTTTTAGTGTATACACAGATAAATGCAACCATTCCAATAATCAATTTCAGAATGTTTTCATCATCTCAGATAGAAACCTCGTATAGTTTAGCTTTTATCCTCCCGTCATCCCCCGCCATCCACCACTTTTCATCTCATGGATTTCCCTATTCTGGACATTTCATGTACATGGAATCTTAGTATGTGGTCTTTGGTTACTGGCTTCTTTCACTTAACATGTCTTAAGAGGTTCATCTATATTCTAGCATGTATCAGCACATTCATTAGTATGTCTGAATAATACTTCATTGTATGGCTATATCACTTTGTTTATACATTTGTAAGTTGGACATTTTGGGTAATTCCAGCTTTTGGCTGTCCTGACTAAAGCTGCTATAAACGTGTACAAGTTTTTATGTGCATATGTGTTTTCATTTCTTACCTAGGAGTAGAATTTTTAGGTTATATGATAACTATGTTAATCATTTGAGGAGCTGTCATTGTTTCCCAAAGCAGCTACATCTTTTTACTTTCCCACCAGCAGTGTACACAGGTTCCAATTTCTCTGCATCCTTGCCAACACTTGTTTACTTGACATTTTGATTTTAGTCATTCTAGTAGATATGAAATGGTATATCTATGTAGTTTTGGTTTGCTATTCTCTGATGACTATGTTGAGCGTTCTTTCTTGTGCTTATTGGCTATTTGGGTATCTTCCTTAAAGCAGTGTTTATTCAAATTCTTTACCCATTTTTTGGTTGTTGTCTTATTGAGTAGTAAGGGTCTTTATATATTCTGGGTACAAGTCCTTTATTGGGTATATGATTTGTAATTTCTCCTATTCTCCTTTTACTTTGTTGATAGTGTCTTTTGAAGCACAGACTTAATTTTGATGAAGTCGTATCCATCATGCCGTTGGTGGATCACGTTTTTGGTGTCATGTCTAGGAACCTTAACCCCAGGTCATGAAGAATTTTTCTTTTTCTTTTCTTTTTTTGAGACAGACTCTCGCTGTCACCCAGGCTGGAGTGCAGTGGCACAATCTCTACTCACTGCAACCTCTGCCTGCTGGGTTCAAGTGATTCTTGTGCCTCAGCCTCCCAAGTATCTGGGACTACAGGTGTGCCCACCACTCCCAGCCCTTTTTTTTTTTTTTTTTTTGTATTTTTAGTAGAGATGGGATTTCACCATATAGGCTAGGTTGGTCTTGAACTCCTGACCTCAAGTGATCTGCCCACCTCGGCCTCCAGAGTGCTGGGATTACAGGCATGAGCCACCGTGCCCAGCCTATGGAGTTTTTCTTCTAAAAGTCTTATAAGTTCTACATTTAGATCTGTGATCCATTTTAGGTTAATTTTTGTATAAGCTGTGAAATTTAGGTTTATGTTTTGGCATATGGATGTTCAGTTGTTTTAAAATCATCTGTTGAAAAATTGTCTATTTCCCATTGAGTTGTCATTTCACCTTTGTCAAAAATCAATTGCTATTTATGTGAGTCTAGTTTTGGACTTTATTCCATTGATCTATGTGTTTATCCTTTCATAAATACCACATTGCCTTGATTATCATAGCTTTATAGTAAGTCTTAAAACTGGGCACCATAATTCCTTCAACTTTATTCTTTTTCAAAATTGTTTTGACTAATTTAGTTTCTTTGCCTTTCATATGAAGTTTAGAATTAGCTACTCTGTATCTACAAAAAATCCTACTGGGGTTTTGAATGCAATTTTGTCTTCCAATCCATGAACATGAGGTATCTATTTAGGACCTCTTTGATTTCAGTTATCAGCATTTTATGTCATTTTTCAGCCTATATTCCACAGTGTTCATTTTGGGGGAACGATTGTTAAATTGTATTATTTTTGAAACGTGGGTTTCCAATTGCACATTGCTAGTATATACAAATGTGTTTGATTTTTGTTTGTTGACCTTGTATCCTGTGACGTTGCTAAACTTTATTAGTTTTGGGAGTTATTTTGTTGTTAACTTGTTAAGTTTTCTACATAAACTACAAATAGGAACAGTTTTATTTTATCCTTTTTATTCTGTGGGCCTTTGATATTTTTTGCCTGATTGCAGTGGCCAGAACAATACAGTGGAGAAAGTGGCCATCCCAGTCTTGTTCTGGATCTTAGGATTTTGAAAGCATTGTCTTTGACCATTATGTATGCAAGCTGTAGGCCTTTCGTAAATTCCCTTTTGTCATGTTGAGCAAGTTCCCATCTATTAATTTGTTGTTAGCAGAGTTTCATGAGTGGATATTGAATTTTCTATGCTCTTTCTGTATCAGTGTGGTCATTTTTTTTTTTTCTTTAGACTGGTAAAATCATGGATTTTATTGATTGATTTCAGAATTTTGAAACAGCTTATATTTCCTCCCAACCCCAAACTTGGTCGTGGTACATTATTCAGTTTATGTATCTAGATTTTTATTTTTTGAGGATTTTTATGTCTGTGTTCATTTTGGATATTGTGCAATTTTTTTTTTCCCTTGTATTATCTTTATCTTGGTATGGTATCATGTTAATTCTGGTCTTGTAAAATGAATTGCAAAGTGATTATTCTTTTTGGAAGAGATTTGTAGAATTTGTGTTAAGTCTTCTTTAAATATTTTATGAATTTGCTAGTAAGGTTTTAAACAATAGTTCAATTTTTAAAAATAGAGAATTTATTGAAGTTTACTTTAGTTAAGTTTTGGTACTGTGTGCCTTTCAAGGAATTGGTTCATCTAATCCTATGTGCATAGAGTTGTTCATGGTATTTTCTTTGTGTTGTTCTAATGAGGATCTATACTGTTATCTTTTCTTTGATTCCTAAGATTGGCAGCTTCTCTTTTTTTGTCAATCTTGCCAGAGGTTTATCAAATTTACTACTTTTTTCAAAAATTAGTTTTTGTTTTGATTGTTCTCTATTGTTTACAATTGCATTGATTTTCTGCTTCGTTTTTTTTTTTTTTCTTCCTTCTGCTTGCTTTAGGTTTAGTTTGGACTTTTTTTCTTTTTTTAAATAGACTGGTCTCACTTCATCACCCAGGCTGGAGTAGTGTTATGATCATAGCTCACTGCAGCCTCAAACTCGCAGGGTCATGATCCTCCTACCTCAGCCTTCTGAATGGCTGGAACTATAGTGGTGTGCCACCACACCCAGTTAGAGTTTCCTAGTTTCTTAAAGTGGGAGCTTAGAGTATTAATTCAAGACCTTTTTCTTGTTTAGTAAAAAGCAGTCGATTGTTATAAATTACAGCACCAGCATGGCTGTATTCCAAGCACAATGATATTTTCATTTATTTAAAAATATTTTTTGAGACTTTTCTGTAGAATCATGAATTATTTAGAAGTGTGTTGTTTAATTTCCAAGTGTTTGGAGATTTTCTTGCTGTTACTGATTTCTATATTATGGTCAAAAAACATACTTTGTATGATTTCATCTCTTTTAAATTTGTTAAGGTTTAAGACCCATGATGTGGTTTATCTTGGTGAGTGTTACATGTGTACTTGAAAAGAATGCTTATTCTGTTGTTTTAGGTGGAAGGGTTTTATGTCAATTAAATCTAGCTGGTTATTAGGATTATTCCATTTTTCTACATCTTTGCTAATTCTGTATTAATTCTATAGACTACTGAGAGAGGAATGTTTAAGTCTCCAACAGTAAATGAAAATTTGTCCAGTCCTCCTTTTAATGCTACCAATTTTTGCTTCATTTTTTTTTTTTTTTTTTTT